ACAATTTGTTTTGTGAGGAATCAAATTTAAGTTCAGTATTCAGTATTTAAGTTGTGTTCAATACTGTTAGACATTTCATCATAAATAAACTTATGCCTGAACTTTCCCTAGTTGTTTCCTCATTACTGAGTGTCGTAAGTTCCTACCTTACAAGAAACTATCCCTTTCCATCAGTTTCTACCCTGAGCTGTTCTCATGGACTCAAATAATGTCTAGCAATTACCTTTTTGCAAATGATCTGTCCATCGAGTGCGGAGAGATGATCAGGATTTCTCATCTGATATAGAATTTCCCACAAAACTTTCTAGTTTACACAGTCAAATGCCTTCTGATAGTCCAGAGAGTATAGATCACATGAATTTGGAAATTTCAAGCTTTTTCAATGAGCTTGTTATTGTGGTGTTTGTCTTTCCAGGTATGTCTGCATGACACATTTAATGATTCTCAATAGACTTTTACTTGGGTGTGAAATTGGTGAGATGGCAAATGGCCCAATGATTTTCCATATCTGATTACACAGTTTACACATTCATGGGAAATTTGTTGACACATGTTCTGTAAAAGCTCAGCTATGATGTCATCTCAAATAGGTCATTTATTTATTTAAGGTGTCTTATGGCTATATCACACCTTATAATACCTGGTTGTAGGATTTTTGGTATGATTTCTAGTGCCGTGATATTATTAATATTAGACGCTTTCTCTTTTAAAGAGTTCTGTGCCCAAGTTTCCAGAACCCATTCCAGACATTCCATTCTTACATATCAGAATCACCAGCAAACAGTTTCACTTTCTGAAAGAGATCTCTTGTTTCATTTCGATGTATATAGATTCTTATTTTTATTAGAAACATATTCATCTTTATCTTTCTCTGGATCAAGTTTTATAAGCATTTAAATCATGCCTCCCCAGCAAACCTCTCCGTTCATTACGGTCTGTACTCATTCTTCTCCACTTAAAATAAAGATTCTCTATGAAAAAGTAGTTTTCACATTCTTTGAATAAAACCTGTTAACTTACAAAAAGCTTTTGAATGCAGATCATGTTTGCTGCTTTTAGTAAGAGTAGTTTAAAAGTAAAAACTTGTGTTGCGATTGTATTTTGTCAAACATTACGCGATGTGAATCTTTTCTGAAGAGTTTTTAGCGTTTACACGAAAATATAAAACAGTATTTATATGTACGTTTACAGTTTATTAATTAGTACCAAATTTGAGATTAAATTTAGGATTAAGATAAATTTATTACTAATTTTTAATTGACTGAGTTCCAAAAAAATATACATAATTTAATACGAGGGTAAGAAATCTTCTATTTTCTTTTTCTATTGCGAAGTTTATCATGGCTGAAATCTATCATCTCGGTCTCTTCTTCAGTTGTTCAGTTTGAACTTGTTAACCATGAATTAAAGATGTGAAGTTTGCTAATATATAACGGTTTTGCGTCATATAACAATCTAGCATGAAATTTTGTAACTGAAAATATCAGTTCAGTTTGGATTGGATCTTTTTTCTGACCAAATTGGCTAGAAAGTCTGGTATGCATCCAAATTTTCTAAAAATTTGTAATATTGCAGGAAACTTTTAATTAATCCAAGTATCTTGACAAAAAGACATGAATTTTTGGTTCTTCGTTAAAATGTTCCCTATTACCATCGTAAGCATGTTGAATATATTTCCAATATGGCGTTCATACGTATAAAATACAAAATGGAGAAACTGTAAGTACCCAATTCGAATTACAAAATATATCAAAACAGTTTAATTAATCAATATCTATCACAACAGTTTTCGAGACGACGCTTTGTAATAATGAAAATTACACCATGAAAAAAAAATACAATACACAAACACAGAAGATATAATTAATAACGAATGTTTCCAATTTTTAAATTAAATCTTATTTAATCAATCAAATCACTATTACATCGTAATTTAAGGTTATATTAGGTTAATTAACGCTATACACATATAATACGAATATACTGAGCGCTGCAATACAGTCACATTCCCCCAGTGCGATAGAGAAAACTGAAACAAAGCAGTATCTGCATCTCTTTCTAATTTACCAGGTTTATCGACCGCGTGATCTAAATGACCAATGAGAAGGTCACTCGAAAGCGATTGTATTCGCGATAGCCAATTCCGACAGGAGGCGCTGAAGATATCAAAGATGGACCATAGCTTCGGGAAAAAAACCATTTTGTCATTTGATCTCTAAGCTATAAAACGTTTAATATAAATCATTTACACGTGTGTTTTGTCAAAGTAAAAGTTGGAGTACGTTCTTCAAAGTTTATTTGTTCGTGATTCGAGTTTATACACAAGGTAATTAACTCCCAAACCTGAATAAAAATAAAATTAAATGTTTGTTTTTCTACAGTATGTCTGACACACGAGAAGTAAAATTTACATTATCTTAATTATTTATATGGTTGCAAGATCGGCAGAGATCTTTAATTGATGGTGAGGCAGTTTTTGGAGCTGACCACGTTATATTTTGTAAATTACGCCTTACGTTTTCTACTAATAACATCATGAGACCGTTGGGGAATTTAGCTGATGGAACAGCATTTTTCTTCAATCTTCTCAATTTAGTTTCAGATGTTACTATAAAGTAAATATATTAAAATATAAATAATATTTTAAGCAACACTTGGAAAGTAATCATTCTCAGTAAAATGAAAACTGCACACAGTCATGTACTTGGTTATAGGTTTGCCAATTCGCAAAATGCATTGCCAAACTTTTCTCATATTCTCGTCCAGCGGAATCTTAGGTTTAGAATTTTTTGTCAATTATAGTAGGATGAACATTGAGGAACACTGCAATAGTTTTTTGAAATCGAAGTCAATTAATTACAATATAAACCGGTCGCTAATATGTATACAAAATAATGACAATTTCAAGTTTTTCCCGAAGTGGATGCTTTTGAAATCTACCACCAGACGTCGCCCACTTTGCGGTTCCTCGCGAATTGCAGCAGCCAGTCTATTTTGTATTATATGTCTATGATTAACACTTTTAGTTTATTGTGTTTTGGCGGTTATTTTAAATCAACGATTTTTATTTCGCGGAAATTTAGATTTTTTGGTATGTAGTTCCGTCTTCAAATCTTCTCTATTTGTGCTGGATATAACAGTGTGTTGCGCCGTTTAGATGATAATTTCAAGTCAAAAAAGCATAAAGAATACGCTCAGTTTACAATCTATATTATAAATGTTTAGTACAAAGGTAACATTTAAATATAAAATTAAACATCAAATACATATAAGAAAAAGTATGAGCTATTACAGAGTTCCCATTAAATAAAACCACTTTATTAAACAGTAGAATAATAAGTCGATTTATACCAAAATATACCAATTTCCGTTTGAAAATTATTTGATATGAAAAAAAAATTCATACTGATTGATATGATTTATAGCACTGTTTTTACGAGACCCCAACGTACTGTTGACGTGACCCCTCGGCGAAGAATTGCAAAATTATTTGAAACTGTGTCTAAAGTTATGGTAATTTTGAGTTAATGGGCGAAAACTGTCGTTACGGCATTTTTGCCGGAAAGATCATTTTAGATTGTTCCGTCGCCAATTACATATTTAACCCTGTTTCAGGGGTACACGTAAACTCATCACTACTTAGCATAAATTCACTCGTAGATAGTACAAACTCACTATCACATTAACACCAGGGTTTTAAAATAGACCTGGAGAGATTTGCAAACTGTTTGCTGACCTAGCTGCACCCCGTGGTAAGTAAGGAGCGTAAAATGCTTGCAAACCACTAAGGTTTGCTAATCTGGAAGAAAAATCAAAATCCGGATGTATTAAATATAAAGGTTGCATGGTTATTTTGTTTGGGAATTCCACTAAATTCAATCGATGAAATTTTTCTTCATTTATCTTTGTTCCTTCAACATGGACAGTGAACTATCACTGAGTATATTCTGAGCCAACGCAAACGAAAAATAAATTAGAGAAATTGGGGAGTAGATATGCTATGTGTGTTCTGGCTTAACCCCTAAATCGCAATCCTACGTTCGACGTAGGATGACGTGCGAGGTATAATTGATAAGGGGATGAAAAATAAGGTTGAAGCCTCTCAACTGACGCTCGCAGTTAGCGTTGTTAGTGTGCGGGGCTTCAAACCCATTTTTCATCCCCTTTTCAACGATACCTCATCGTCGTCCTACGTCGAACGTAGGATTACGATTTAGGGGTTGCACCAGAACGTACATAGCATATCTACTTGGGGACGACATGGTCAAAAATATTTTCCTTAAAATGTTTACTATCGAAAACCTAGGCAGGTGAAAATTTTCAGATCTCAAATCCATTTAGATTGACATATATCTTGAATAGGCCACTCATCCTGAAATACCCGATATAAATATATCAGTTAAATTTTAAAGCCATTAGCTTAAAATAATTTCTGAATATAAGGGATTACGACGTAACCAAGAAGTGTAACAGGTAGCAGGCTCTCTTCCGTATTAGAAACCAGTGCCTTGGGGCAAAAATACTAGTGATGAGTTTATCTATCTAAAGTGATCAGTTTACGATCCAAAAAGAGCCAATTTTGTGCTAGAACTCTAGCTGTATTGTTACTCATTTTGTAAAATTTTATGAAAGAAATCCATGAATGCACGTCTATTTAGGAAACAATAACAAATTATTCGTTGCTACTTGTTATCCATGAAGGATAAGCCTCAGCTACACGTCATTTGTCAAATACCCAACTATTCTCGATTTGTGACAGACTGATAGATTTGTGTATTGTTATTTAGTCGTTAAAAAAATACCATTTACGAAATATGGTAAATAAAAATTATCTCAATGCACTTCCAGTTTCGAATTTTGACATATGTATTTGCAGTCAATATAAAGTAATTATTAAACCAGTAAAATGTAAGACGTTAATCGATACATTCAAAGTAAGACTAAAATCTAAAATAAATTCTTAAGTTTTATGGGAACTCTGCTCCAACTTAAGATACTTTTTATTTTAAAGGTCTGGAGTAGGGAGAAGCTTTATAACGAGACAGCTCCCCACCTCTTGATGATGATGGTGGATCTGGTGACATTCTAGAATATGAAGAACTCGATGGCTTATGCTTCCAAGAACGAGATGTAGGTTCTGTAGAGGAGATAGTTTTATACAGAATAATTTATAATTATTATTAATAATTCTAATTATATTTTATTGTTATTGTTCATTAATTATTATATTTTATTGTATTTATTATTGTTGTTATAAATATTAAGATTAATATTAGAATTATTAAGTTATTTTCTTTTAATATATCAATAATATCAGTTTATTACAATATTAGAGAGTTTATTTCGCAGCAAGATATTGTTAATATCAGTTTTATTTATAAATGCCGTTTTTTTTTGTAATAGGCACAGTACATTTTTTTAACAATTATTTTTCAGTTTTTTACCTACCCTAGAGACGGGGTTACCTTTTTTGAAACACCCTGTATATCGAAGGACAAAATAAGCTCTGTTTGCCTGCGTTATCCTCTTCCGTATTTCTCCATCTTCTGATCCGTTGGCATATATTTCTACTGCCAGGTATGTAAACTTTCCAATCGTGTTAATTTCCAGACCTAGCCTTTTTGTTTGCGTTTTTAACTCTACGTATGTTTCCTGTACTCCTATTGATATTCTACTCATAATATTAATATCATCGGCATAAGCGGAAAGTTGAACCGTTCGGTTGGTCAGTATGTTTCCTCGTCCAGATTGCATTTTCCTAACCGCATACTCCAGTGCCAGGTTAAACAAAGTTGGGGCCAGCCCATATCCAGAAGTTTATTGTCTGTATTTAGCTAATTTGAAATAATACCATAACACGTGATAAATTATTAATTTCAAAATTTCACCTTGTATTATTCATTATAGACCCTACATGATATAGTTCGTTGAAATCAGGTTATTTAGGGCCGGTTCTACAATGCTAGTATATATGAGAATAATAGTTATACTTGGAATAACTTCATTAATGGTGTTCTACAAAACAAAGAATAAACTAGGAATAAGATAATCGGAGTATATCTGTAGAATAAACTTTATACCTCCAACGTTTAGCAGATATACCAGAGATATACCCAGTATAAATTTATACTGCATTTCTATTGGTCGGTCAGGGGTTGTCAAATCTGTAATATTTTAACCTCACTTTGTTTGTTTTTATATATAAAATAAAATTTTTGATATTGCACAAACATTTTAGATTGTAAATCCAAAGGAAATTTTATTAGGCAATCCAAAGGAAAAAGAAAGCATTTATTATTTCAATTCTAAAATTTTTGGGATATGTATGTAATGTAATAACGTCTACACATATGACTAATATAGTATAGGTATAATCTTACCAAGGCAATATATTTTTTAATGTTTTGATAACAGAGACTGTAATAATTACATTATAATTTTAGTTTAAAGAAATGTTTATATAATACAGATTCTAGAATTATTCTAGAATCTGTATTATATAAACATTTCTTTAACTAAAATTATATATTTTGTAATCCAATATTTATACTTGTTTAAAATGTGAAGTACCTATATAGATATATTTACATAATTTTGGTTATTATATTATAACACTAATCTCAGTTGATGATAACAAAAAATTTAAGAAGGAAATTTTACATCTTTTTTTATCCATTTTATATTAATTTTGTACAGTATAATAATATAAACGTAGATAAAATACCAGTAAAGCGAATCAATTATTCAATTCCTTTCAATTGTAAACAAATTTTACAGTTATGACAAATGCCAAATGTCGCTGTCAATAACAATTTGAACTAATTTTGAAGATATCTGACCTACTATTTCGTTTTACCTTAGTGTTCTGTGGTTATACCCAGAATAACTATTCCGCTGTCGATTTCACAATGTAGAACGCTCGAAAGATTATACTTGGAATAAACTCAAGTATAAGTTATACTCAGAATAACTATTCTCCAATTTATACCTGGAATGTAGAACCGGCCCTAAGAATCTTTTAAAAACATAAAAATATACAGGGTGTTTCATTAAAAATAAGGATTATGGACTATGCCAGACTTGCGTGGATCACCCTGTATATTGAAATTTGTTTAAAAAGCGCACATTTAAATTTAAAAGTTAACGTGTCCCAAAGTTTTTTATTATTTTCTATAATAAGGACACAAATAATTTTATTACGTAAGTGGTATTTTCTCTTCTTGGCATATGTCTTTGATGAATGTGTGGATGTGACTTGCTAGGTGGTCTACCTTATACAATTCTGTTAGTATTTCATCAATTCCCAGGGCTTTATTGTTTTTCTGGGCCTTAATCATGAGAGTGCTCACATAGGATCAAATCACAACTCAGGAGTGACCAAAATTAGGCTCAAAATAGAAATAATAAAACGAAGAACAAATGCACAAATCGGTACAAATAAATTAAGGTATCCACTCATAAGACAACGTCTGACAGATAAATCAATAACCGATTAATTCATGTTAAAGAACGAATTCTGTCGAATACTAAAACGGGTAGAAAATAGTTTTTTTTGTAATATGGCTTTGGCAGAGCCAATTAGCCAGACTTGTGATTCCCTATAAAATAGTGATTTTCTAGTGAACCATACAAAAAAAAAACAATGAATGGCGGAGGAAGGTCTGTGAAGGTATTTGTTATATCGGATCCTCTACTATAAATAAAGAACTACAAGAAGGAATAGATGATAGTCAGTTTGGGATCAGAAAGGCACTAGAAACCAGATAGGCCTTATTTGCTTTTAATGTGAGAGCTCACAAATGCATGGATATTAATGTGGATACGCATGTTGGTTACATTAATTTTGAAATGCATTTGACAAGATATCCCAATATCATATTAGTGCACGTGTTATTTATAAACATTCCAAACAGACGAATTTTTTCTATAAATACAGACCCAGTAGTCATGCCGAATAATACAAGAAAAAACTCTAGCTTGATAGTTGTCTTTTTTGAGCTTTGTCTGTCACTCTGGCCATCACTTTGTCCAAACTGCTACTTTATTCCAGATATTTACATTTACTTCATTGGCTTACATTAAGGTGGGTACACATATGCGAGCCGAACTGTTCGCGAACATTATATTCGTATAATTTGTACGGCGGGACGAACCGCTTGCGAGTTGTTCGTTCGTTACTCGTCAGGAACCATTACCTGTCGGTTTTTGGGACGAACACAAAGGATATTCTCAGTTCAATTTGGACGGTGTTCGCAGCGATATTGTCTGTTCGTGTCGTCGAGATTGTGTGACTTATTCCTAGTTTGAATTTAGTGTATATTTTTCGGCGGAATACAAGTTTTCCATGATGGCACAGTGGTCCGAGAATATATATCGTCGGCTTACTGCCAAAACCAACTAACTCCACTTTTTAAAGTTTTGAGAAATCTACATTTTAAACTTAATTTGAAATGAAAAATCGTGTAAATTTAAAAATGATTTAATGACTGAAAAATATTAAAGTAAATAACATTATAAACAAAACATTTTGTAAAAAAATTATTAAAATGAAGCAAAAGTTAAAAAAAAGTAAAAAAACATTTTTTTCCGGCACTTGTCGGATTTTTGGCTGTACAAATTTAGTCAACTTCCAGGTCGCTTTGAACATCACTATCCTCCACATCAGGCTCAGGTATACTGTCGTCGATGCCATTCGAGGTCGGTAACGACTTATAGTATTGATGAAATTCATCTGGAATGACTCCTGTTTTGCACAGTTTTAATAGATCCGGTTTTTTTTTTAAACTGATGGGCCGAGGTTTGGAGTATGCCTTTTTAAAATCTATTTCTCTCAGATTAAGAGGACGACCTTTACCAAAAATGTTTATTTCTTTGTATTCCGAACTGTGATCGTACCTGTACAACACAATGCCTGGTTTGGATTTTAAATATTTCAAGCATTTTACTTGTAGCCAGTTAACTTTTTCTCCATTTGTATTTTTTGTTCGATTTTTCATTATTAGTTTTGACAGGGCCTCTAAGTCAAAAAAGTCCTTATACTTCAGTTCTTCTACAATATACGGTTTTCTTGCCAGATCTACACGTCCTTGCCATACGGAAAATATTAAAGCCAATCATGCATGGTGTAAACTGGAACATACTTTTGCGCCTTTTCTATAGCACTATGCATGCTGTCTTACCTCCATGTAACTATGTCCACTCTCGAGAAATTTTTGTTCTATCACAGATAAGTTGGGATTTGTTTGTACTAAATACAAAAGCAAGGCACTAATATTCTGATTGCGGTTCTGTCCGCCTGCAAGTGTCAGAGAAAAGAGAAAGTTCAGTAATATCTGTCGAGAGTTTATCGATATACTTTAATAGACACGTGCCGATTTCCGAGGCTTCTCTTTTTCCATTTAGCTCGGTCCATGAAAAAGCCAGTATGAGTTGTTGGTATTGCCAACTCATACACCGTTAAGTTGTAAGTACAAATCTTACGGCTAGAATACATCGGACTTACATCGCTACTTGGAATCTGTAATACGCATTGCAGATCAAAAGTGCAGCACATAAAGTTACTCTCTCTATGTGCTCTTTCTTTATTCTTCCATTTTTGGCCTGTAACAATCGTTCTTTCGCATAATGTGACTTTCGTTAATTCTCTTCCAATTCCTCCCTTTTCTCCAAATCAGCTGTCTTTATATTTGGCACATAACTGACATTGATCTTTTTTTAAGGTGTGAAAAAAGACATATATTTGTTGCAGAATACTCTTCTATAAGTTATTTGGGAAAACCGGCGTTAGATTCTCATTTTCTCACATCTCTTTATACAAGCTGTACATTTTTGCAATACTCAATTTGCAGTCAAGGTACGCCTCTTCGTAGATTGTCTAGTATAGTGGATTTCCATAGTGGGAAAGCTTTCAATGTGTTTTTTAACGACTTTAAATACTCGAGCTATTTAAACCTATTGGTATCCCAAATGAAGATAATTCGACAGTTTCCTCTTTTTTTTTATTGTAACAAATTATTATCGATAACATTCAGTGTCCTAAATTAGCACACAAGTTGCCATCTACCACAATTCCATCGTCTAATAAAAAAACGTAAATACCGATATATAAATAAAAACCTGATATTATTATCAACACTTACCATTAAGTAATTCAGCTTCTAATGCCATGCTTAATATACGAGAACAACGGGAAGACATTTTTAACTAATAAAAACTTTTCCACAAATTAACAAAAAAATTCACCAACTGTATAAACAAATAAATCTATCTATGTTTAAAATGTTTTAAAAATTGAAGACACATGGGCGCCGACAAGTCAGACATTTACTGGAGAAGAATTGCATATCTGCAAATTTCTAAATACCTACCGAATTATCTACATGCAATATCGTATTACGCTGAAAACTAAAGACAGTTATCATGAAATATAAACCGAAATAGTACAGTGAAAATAACTTAACTTGCACTTGTCTGGTTTTGGCAGAACTATAATATTGTAAATGATAAAATATATTTTTATTTTAACAGACAACTGCATATATCTATTTTTGGCTGAATAAAAGTGTCATCGTTGGAGTTAGTTGTTTTGAGACCCTTCTGTTTCTCACATTTAAAATCTGTCTGGACGTGGCTGGTTTCATCAGTACATTCTTTGATAATTATTAAGTACAAAGGCGTACTTAACCTAGAATTGACAAAAAGTGGAGTTAGTGGGTTTTGGCAGTAAGCCGACGATATATTGAACCTATTGACTTATATCGGAACAAGAGGATAGTCGGATATTTTCGAAAACACTAAAAGATAAAAGAAAAAGCTCTCCATAAATTATTTTTCACCAAATTGTGTTCATTCAAAATGAATAAAATTAAATTATATGCTACTACACAAACAAAACTGTTACTTCACACAAGTTGGTTCTTAGTTGGTTCGTCGCTTTCCATGGAGTTTGCGATGAATTCGCTGTAACGCACCTTTAAACATATTTTTAAACGAACTGTTAGCGAACAGTCCGGCTCGCATATGTGTACTTATATTTACAATAAACCAAAAACAGGGCTTTATAATCTTAATAAATTTCTTCGTAAGCAAAATAGACTGATATTTTTGATAAAATATTTTTTATTATTATAACACACTTTTAAATCTGCTTTTGTTTAATACCGATATTTTTATTTGCATCAAATATTAGGATTCGTTAATTTGAATGGATAAGAATTACGTTTAGCATTCATTTTTTTACCTTATATAATTTTCTAAACGCTTCATTCATACATATCCATTTTATACAACTGCTCTTCAACCCTATATAGAGAAATAGCTCTAATATATTTTAAATCATATTTGTACTTACAAGTGGAACGGTCTTATTAAAAATACCATAGATACACTTTAAAAAGGTACAATTTGATATTTTCATTTTTAGTAAAACAGTTTTAAATTTATTCAGGAATTGCTTTTAAAGATAATTTTAGGGATTTTACTGTAAGTTTTACGTGTAGGTCACAACATTATAATAATTAAACATTTTAAAAACTTCTTTACAAGTGTAACGTTATAAACGTCACATCTCTATTAATTTATATTTAAATAATTATTTCATTTTAATTTCTTTATTAATTTATTAATATCTTTACCTTAAGTTTAATTTTACTATTTTTATTTAAAAGTAGTTGGCGCCCTCTCTGTTCCTCTATTACTCCCCCCTGTTTTCATTTCTTCCTCTGTCATTATTTACTCTCTCTTTCTGTCACGTAGAATATATATTCGCCCTCTCTCTTTGTATTTTGTGTTGACAGACAAGCTAGTTTTATGAAATAGCAACACCCTGTGACATCTGTGCTAACTTCATTTTAGTCTCCCACTTTCTGTCAGTTAAATATTCTAATCCAGTGGGAATATGATTTTTTGTCTGCTTTTGAACTTCATAAAAGAAGGCAAAAATTATAATTAGACTCATTTTCCGGTCTACAAATTCTCTTGATGTAAGTACTTTCATTGTAATATTTATTCTATAATTCTGATCGCACTTCCGATATTTGTAACCGATTTGTTCCGATATTTCTTTCGAAAGCACATTATTTTTTTATATATGCATTAGGACTCTTTAACACAATTTAACTAACAATCATAGTAACAATCATATCTCATTTTATCCTTGCCATACGTTATTTATTTAATTTTAACTTTGTAAGATGGCAAGGAAGTTGAACTCCTCTTGATGTGTCTAATGCTCCTATTCCTTTTGTGTTTTAGTGTATTGGGAATAATAATTTAATGACAATTTTATTTGGCATTTATTTATTGGATTTATTGGCATATTGACACAGTTGTTGGCTTTATTGGACTTCTACTGGACAATTTAATCAGAACGTAGGACCTCATGTAACTGCAGCTCTCCAGAACTACAGCATTCAATTGGAGGACCTAGCAGCTAGAGCACACAAGTAGCCCATCGAACGAAGCAATAAGTATTACATCAATTGTTAAGTATGGATCTTTACGATCAAGTTGTTAAGCAACAGCTGAAGTGGGATTGGTATGTGACAATTGCGGCTTAAGAAGGCTTTGCACCAGTTAATAATTTCTATAGGACAGATCTGTTGTTATCTGGCAAACAGTTTTAAACTATTAACTATTATGTAAAAAGATTAAAAAATTGTGCATTCTTGCTCATAAATGTTGCATGACACCTCATTAGAATTAGCCACAAAAAGCGACAATATTATTATAGTCGGTTCGCTATATTTACGCGGGTTTCGGATTAACAAAATTTTTCTAATGACTCATTGATAACCAGTTGCAGTAAAGGACTTCCCAGAAAATTGGGTAAAAACTGCATTAATTGTCATATTTTAAAATACATTAAAATAACATTAGGGTAGGTATAAATTTGTTACAATATTGCAGTTGAATTGATTCTTTGCCAGTGTGACATTGTATGTTTGGTGGAAATATTTAAAAATGCCTAGACGTGTGTTAGATGTAGATAGTCTAATTTGTAGTGTACATAAGTATTTTACGGATGAAAAAGAAAATGGCGATCCTTTAAAATCGGTAATGTCTGTTCAACAACGCGTATATGATGCTCTAGGAACTAGTGAAACCAAACTAAGAGGAGTATTACAAAATCGCAATAATGAACGGCCGAAAGAAGATCACCGAAAAACTCGACTATCATTGAAAACAAAAGATATTCCAGATGGAAAAAAAATTTGAAATTCGTGATACCATTTATCGAATGCGAGCCAACAAAGAACATGTGACCTTAAATACAATTCTCTCGGAATTAAAAGATAGAAAATTTTACGAAATTGGCAAAACAAGTCTATGGCAAGTGATACACAATTTGGGTTTCAAATTTCAAAAGGAGGACAACAGAAAAGCCCTTTGTGAAAGAAGTTCTGTTGTGCATAAAAGAATTAACTTTCTAAGAAAGTATTCTAAATTAAAAGAAGAAAGGGCAAATTTTATATATTTAGACGAAACATGGATATTTTCTAAGGGTGCAACCAAGAGAATATGGCAAGATGATAAAGTGAAGTCTATCAAACATACTGATGGAGAAGGGAAGCAACACATAATTTGACATGCAGGAAGGAAATCGGGTTTTATAGAAGGTGCTGATTTAATATTTTCATCTAAATCAAAATCAACTGACTATCACGATAATATGAACACAGAAATGTTTGTAAAATGGTTACATGAAAAACTTCTTCCAGGTTTAAGTGAGCCCAGCGTAATTATTTTAGACAATGCACCTTACCATTCTGAAGTATTAAACAAAAGTCCAACGAATTCTTGGGACTGTTAATAAAATTAAAGAATGGTTGACAAAGGAACATATACCATTTACACAACATATTTTAAAATCAGAATTATTACGCTTGGCAAATATCCACGCAAAACCAAAACCTTTGTTGTGGATCAGATTATTGAAAGTTACGGTCATCAAGTTTTACGTCTGCTACCGTATCATTGCCAGTTTAATCCCATCGAATATATATGGGGAATAGCAAAACAATATTATGACACCATATTGGGGCCTAAACGGTTATAGCGACGACGCAGTTCGGGAAACTCGGCGAAAGGCACTTTCAATTGTAACTCCAGAAGTGTGGTGCAACTGTATATTCAAGTGCGAGAAACTAATAGAAGATTGGTGGACTCGTGAAAATAAAATAAACGAAATAAGTCCAATCATAATAACAATTAATGGTGATGATAATGATGATGATGACGATTATGATATTTTTGATGATAATTACTGTTTTCATTTTTGTTGGCAAGTTAATTTTTTTTATTTTTCATTAGAAATTCTCTCCATGGAACAAATATACATAGACCATATTTTCTGTGTGAAGTGTAATATAAAATTATTATTAGGTTTATATTTAGCCACATTAGACTCCATTAATGAAGTAATTCTCCTTATTATACTGTCAATTATGTAAAAGATTTTTTATTTTTTATTTAATTAAAAAAAGTTATGGATTATTTTTAATTTCTTTTGACAAAGTTGATATTTCCCCAAAGAGCAGGTAATTAAAACTGGGTACTTACAATAAAATTTTTAATCCGAAACCCGCGTAAATATAGCGAACCGACTATATTTATGATCTTATATTATGGTTTATATTATACCTTTTATTTTAATTATATTGTGAAAATGTCTGGAAATCTAAACTAATACTAATTAGCAATAATTTAAAAGATATTATGAGCTACTTCCTCAATACCACCTCTAACCCTTACAAAATAATATAATAAAATATAAAGTACTCACCATAACTTGGAGAACCATTGCCTTGATAGTAGTCAGTTTCATAGTCTTCATAGTACCCGGACGTGTAATCACTAACTTTTGGAGAATACATGTTACCATAACGAGGAGGTGACGTAGCTCCATAATCATCTTCATATCCATAACTTTCCTCCATGGCTACACGAGCTCTATCTAGTATAGACATGATTTTAGTCTTGGCGGGCATCAGTCGCGGCGTGTGAACTGGAGCTCTGGTTGCTGTACGCATTACATGAGGTGGAGGTGGTCCTCGGGATAACGGATTAGATGCTGTGAACAAAAAATATTCCACAAATTATCAAGACTTTCCTCACAAGATTTTGGCTAACACTTACGTCTTACGTGAGGAGGTGGAAGAGGTCTTCTTGACTCGGTTATCATTTCCCTATCAGAAAATAATTCCAACTCTCGCAATTTGCTCTTGTCGAATAATATCGTTGCTATCCGGTATCAGATATTTTCTGACCTCTGCCAGGGCAAAAGCTAGCCTTGCATGAGCCTCGGCTGGAGGACCAAGAGCTGAGATTTCTACATGAAGATCGTCCATCAAATGGCTAGAAAAAATGAATTTAAGTAACATATACCTGCGTTAAAGAGATTGATATATACTTTGTCTCAAAGTGACTAGTCTGTACAGGGAAGATATGCAATGATAACCTTATGGGAATTTCGCCAAGACGTTGCCAGTTTTATGCAGTGAGCGATGGCGGTCTTTATTGTCTACCTTTTAAAATAAACGGAATAAACCAGGAGTTCTCAACAAGTCATCACATACAATTTTATGTAATTTACAAATATCGTTTGCTAATAATTTTACATAATACTATACACTATTTGTTTCTAATAGTAACTTATTAACTTTTATGTTTTATTAGTAGCAGTAGTATAATAAAATGTGCTGTCCTTAACTACATTTATTGAAGCTGGCTTTGAAAGACGCGAAAAATCTGCCATAACATTTATAGATCTCACGGCTGCCTATGACACTGTGTGGAAAGAGGGCCTTATTTATAAGCTGATGAAAATCATACCTTGCCTCAAAACTTGTCAACTGATAAACAATCTACTGACTAACAGACTGTTTCAGGTATATATGAATGATGCACAGAGTAACGTTAGAAAACTTAACAGCGGCTTACCTCAAGGCTCAGTGCTAGCTCCTTTATTATTTAACCTTTATACAGCAGATATACCTGAAACAAAATCGAGAAAATTTGTTTATGCTGACGACCTAGCCATTGGCTTCCAAGATAATAGTAAAGAAGCAGGAGAACGAGCTCTAAACGAGGACTTAACTACACTAAGTAACTATTTTAAGAACTGGCGCTTACGTCCTAACACAAGCAAAACTGAAACCTGTCTCTTTCACCTGTCGAATCAACTTGGGGGCGATACTCTCAAGGTAACTCTAAATGATACAGCTATCAAACATAACAACAACCCCAAATATCTAGGCGTCACACTTGATAGAACACTCACGTTCAAAAGTCATCTTACAAACGCAGCCGGTAAACTAAGAACAAGAAATAAATTAATATCAAAACTTGGTGGAACAACTTGGAGTGCTTCAGCAGATACTCTTCGGACCTCTGCTCTAGCTTTGGTTTTTTCAGTGGCAGAATATTGTGCACCAGTATGGCTAAATAGTGCACATACAAGCAAAATCGATGTCCAACTTAACCAAACCATGAGAAATAATCACTGGAACAATAAAACCAACGCCACTGAGATGGCTGCCTATTCTGAGCAATATTGCTCCACCAGATCTACGCCATACAGCAGCATTAGTGAGAGAGTACCAGAAAAATGGTAGCCAACATACAATTATCAATACATCAAGATATCCCAGACATCTCAAAAGAGCACCAGCGACAGATCTAGAAATCCTCCAATACGATCTGCCCGAAAAATTGGTAATTCCTATGATATACGTAGGCAATGGACAACAAGATGGATGCCAACAGTAGAATCGGACTATATTAAGATATCCACCTCAACTCAGGGTTTCATCGGATCAAATCTGCCCCGGTCCACTTGGGCAAGGCTTAATCGTATACGTACCGGACATGGTAAATGTGCTGATTCGCTGTTCAGGTGGGGTCGTGCAGAAAGTGCACAGTGCGATTGCAGACAATCTAGACAGACCATAAGCCATTGGTTTTCAGACTGCTTGAATCGTGCCTACCGTGGAAACCTCCAGGACTTTGCGGAATGTTCCCCAGAAGCAATTGAATGACTATGTAAATTGCTCTTGACAATTATTGTTATTTTCTGTTGTTGGCTATTGTTATATTTGACGCCAAATTTTTACCGCAAAAAGGAGGAAATTGTTCAATGGAAACGTGCAAAAGCTCTGAAACTTGAGAAGCAGATACTAATGAATATTATTAATTATTATCTTAATCAGGATAACAACGATTCTATATCAAGCGTAATTAGGAAAGTGTCAGAAAATGAGTGGTGTTTTCGAAAAGGCTCTGTTTCGCGTATGACAGGAATATTCATCACCTGCTGTATTACAGTCTCCAAAGAGCAGGCCCAAGAAGGGAAAGTTGGTAATTCTCGTGATAACAAGTACGATGAAGGTGTCAGGGGCCAAATTCGTAGAATAGTTCATCAATTTTTTTCGTGACAACATACCACCAACAATAAACACCATATTAGCTGTTGTAAATGTCGAAGAAAGTTTGCCCAACTTTTCACGGGGCACGCTATATCTCTTGCTGAGTGATATGGATTTTGTTTTTATAAAACGTGGCAGAAATTCAATTTTGATTGAAAAACCAGGAATCATCTCGTGGCGTCATGGTTATTTACGCGCAATTCGTAAATACCATGCAGAAGGATACAACATAGTGTATTTAGATGAATCATAGGTAAATATCGGGAACAGTGTGAAAAAAGAATGGATTGATAAAACAATTACATCTCATCACAGTGCTTTTCTTCGTGGTCTGACAACAGGATTAAAAGCTCCAACAGCTGGTGGTGCACTGTTCGTTTTATTGCACGCAGGATCTGCCAGTGGATTTGTTGATGGAGCAGAGCTCACATTTTTGGCAAAGAAAAATACTCAGGACTACCACGACGAAATGGATGGACCGACCTTCGAAGATTGGTTCGAAAATAACTTAATGCTAAATTTGCTAGAAAAAACTGTTGTGGTAATGGACAATGCCTCCTATCACAGCAGAAAGTCAGAACAAATTCCCAACAGTTCAACACTAAAAAAAGATAATCAAGAATGGCTTCTGTCACAGGACCTATTTTTTGAAGACTACATAAAACGCGAGCTATTTGATGTAGTCAAGGCCTTCAAAGCAAAATATGACAGGTACATAATAGAAGATATTGCCAAAAAGCACAATGTGAAGATTCTAAGGCTCTCAAACTATCACTGTGAACTCAGTCCCATCGAAATGGTTTGGAGTGAAGTGAAACGATATATAGCTGGACGCAACGTGAATTTTAAAACAACTGAAATGCGGAATTTAATTACAGCAGTGTACCAGGTCATTATGCCAGAGAAATGGAAAAACTATGTAAACCATGTAATAACAACAGAAAAAAAATGTGGGAAATTGACAATTTGGTGGATGATATCGAACCAATTATTATAAATATAAATAACGGAGATGATATATAATAATAATGATGATGATAGTTACGCACAAACTAAATGTGACGGCAATTGACAGAAAAAGGAACTAAATATAATGGTGTACAATTACGATTACTTACACACGAAATTAAATACAGTGACTTCTTTTCTTTTCAACTTATTTATTAGTTTTATTTTCAGATATCTCTACGTTTTATTATCAGACAGGGTCGTTAGTGGGCATTAGTACTTAAGCTAGGCTTAGTACTTAGGCTAAGTAGTAAAAAGTGACGTTTATTTTAATATAACTTTGCAAAGAAGTATGGCATCGATGTTGTGCATTTACCCTGTAGACAAGTCACTTTGAGACAATCTATAGTAGACTATAACTAAAGTTTATTTCATTAAGCGATGCAGGGCATATAAACAACGATAAATTTAACAGATAATTGTTAAAGATGTTCCAAATGAGTCTACTCGTTCCGACAAGTAACAGTATAATTATGACACTTTATTATTTTTCTTCTTTTCTCCATTATTAGTGTTTATTGCATAGTAAATAAATTATTGTTATCACTGAATATATAATAAGTGCATATTTTATGCATACATGCAAATAACAGTTCTTCAAGAATATATAAAAACTAACCGAAATTTCCATCTTTATTTTGTTCTGCCGACGTTGTCGGCAGCTCATACAGGTTCGGACACGATTTAATGTTTACATCTCCCTGCATCGCTTAATGAATTTTACTATAGTGACGGACAAATCAGTCGTTGTAGTAACAGGGATACCATTATTGAGTTTATTATTTGTCACGAGTTATAATTGAAAAGGTGAAATTAACCTAAGAAAATTATAAATGATTTACCTGTATTTGGGATCAAGAGAATTTCGTAACTCATCCTCTCTAGCTCTATCTTTCATTGATCCTCTTCCTAAAACGGCCATTTTACACATGGTTTCTTCCTGGAGCCGTTTCATTGAATTTCCTTTTGGTCCCAAAAGTTTTCCAACAAAATTAAACTAAAAATAAAAATAAGTTTAGGAATTTCTAGAAATTAAATATGAAAAAGAATTTGGAAAATAGTGCAATTTTAAATGTATTATGGAAAATGTTCATCAAATAAATAATATAAATAATTGACAACTATGGTGGCATTTTTGTTCTTGATCAGCTTAGGTGTTAGTGTTGTCTCACATGTGCGTATAAGAGCATATTTTAACATATGTCATTTCCTGTTCGTATCTTCAGTAGGAATAATTTCTATTTTGGTAAGCTCTTCTTTAATTTTTAGTGTGACTTGCTCTTTTATTGATGGATCTCTTAAACGGGATACTTGTATCCTCTCTACTTTAGTTTGAGCCACAAACTTTTTTAGATTAATTCTAAACCTTCCTACAACTGGGTTGTGATCTAATCTCGCATCAGCTCCGGGGTATGATTTTACTGATTTTATGGAATTTCGGTATCGTTTGCAGATGAGAAGGTAGTCAATTTGGTTTCTGATGACGTTATGTTGGTTGTCTGCTGGAGATTTCCATGTATAGAGTTTCCTGGGCGGCAGATCATAATAAGTATTCGCGACAATAAAATCGGTCTCTTGGCAGAATTAAGCCAATCTGTCTCCTCTCTCGTTACGGGTGCCCAGTCCTAAGTTTCCAATAAAATCACCTTGACTTCTTTTACCGATTTTTGCATTTAGATCTCCCATGACTATTGTAACGTCCCTAGACTTGGTTACTTCTAAAGTTTGTTGTAATTCATTATAAAACTGTTCATCCGACTTTTATGCTGTGGGAGCATATACTTGCATTATATTGATTCTAGATTGAGCTGTTTTTAGTGTTACCATCATAACTTTATCCGAGATGGGTAAGAAGCCAGTTACAAATTTCTGAGTAGTTATGACAACTAATATCGCTACTCCGTTCCAGTGATTTGCGTCATTGTCATTACCAGAGTAGTATATTTTTGTTTGGCCTACTGATATGTCACCTGAAGTATATACCCACAAGTATACTGTCTATATAAACAGTAAAAATCTCAAGTGAAACAAGAATCACTGACTAGACCTACCGTAAAGATAAGCGCTTTACCTGCTCGCGTCTTGCTGGCGCTCGCCAAGTGTTTGACTAATGCTCAGAGAGCTGGCCGGACTAAGCGGAAACCGAAGTAACCGATGCCGAACTTACAGGAATCTACTGTATATATTGGTTGTTATTAGCGGAATAAAATTCTAAAATGTCTTACCTTAGGGTATTCCCGAACAGGTACTAATACCTTAACAGTAACTTTGATCGGTTTTTCCCTGTAAATATCAACATACTTAAAGTCTCTCACGGGAGCTCGACCTATCGATTGAGTCTTGATGACCTCTGAAAAAAAAAGCAAAAGCATTTATTATAAAAAACTCAATCATTTAAGTAAGAAACTTATGTTGTAAGTGGTATATTCAATTAAAAAATTATATTAAAAAATCCAAATGGATTATAATAAACTTTAGAACATTTTCGGACTAATCCGTCCATTTTCAGTGAACCTAAGTTGTTTACTTCAACGTTCGAGTTTTTTAACTAATATGGTATACAGCCAACTCCCGGGAATTATCCCATTTTAAAATTTAACGGAATCAAGAAGTTTAATGGTAATACAATATACTCCCTCCCTTAACGAACACGGTTATTACGAGGTTTTGCTAATAACGAGGTACATTAGACGTCCCGTGAAATTTCTATTGTAAAATCTATATATTCTATAGTAAAAAAACGTGTTTTTACATATATACGTGTTTTTAAATAAATACCCTTTTTAACTCTCGCCCGGAATAAACTTCTGTTTAATCTACCGACCGATATTGTGTTGTCGGAAATTTACAATTTATGATTCACAAGTATGAGTGTAGGGGTTTGACCATTCGCACCTAATAAACTACGTAAAGAGGCTAAAAACATGACAAATGAAACAAATATCACCAGAATTTCATTTTAAGGATGTTTATCGTTTGTTTCCTGATTGTGCTTTCGCGTCTTGAAAGTTGTGTTGTAGATTACATAGTCACATAGATTACACACTATGACTCCTAAAAGAAAAGCATTTACTTAAGAAGAAAAAATTAACATTCTTAAAGATGTTGAGAACAATAAGAAGAAAGCAAAAGTTTGTTGTGAAGGAGGAATTTCAAGTTCCACTCTATTTACCATGCTCAAAAATAAACACAAGATTCATCTTTTTCCGGTAAATCGAAAAAACTATGTGCCGCAACTAATAAAGAACTCGATATTGCAATGATCAAATGGTTTACCGTGACAGGGCTGCGAATGTTCCAATAAGTGGACCACTGCTTCAAGAAAAAGCAACACAGTTTTCGGCGCTAGATGGTGATGAGAATTTTAAAGCATCGAGTGAGTGGATGAGCCTCAAGGCGCGCTAGACGCGCGCTACTTGCCACTTGCCATGCCAGTTTGGTGGGCGCGCTCCCTTATATTGCTCTAAATGGCTTCACTAAAAGAAGTTAATGTTTTAGAAAACTACATATTCATATGTATGCACAGTATTATTGTTGTCTGGTATAACGAGATCGGCTTATAACGAAGTAATTAGTCTGCCATTTCAGTTCTCGTTATAGAGGGAGTCTACTGTATTATAATTCAGCATTTTTGATGGCAAAAAGTCACAATTTTACTTTAAAATTAAGTTTATTTGACATTTAGGATTCCACTTTGTTCTCAAAATACAAACCAGTATTATCTCAGGAGAATCGTAAAAATAGCATAAATCGCGCAAAACTGACTTTATTTGCGGCAAAACACATAGAAGCTGCACTATTTACCATTTTGATTTTTGTCGATAGGACACTCTAATAAAAAGTATCGAATTTTTACCATCGAGGTAATACAATTTTTTTAAAATTGATTTCGCGCGCGTAACTGACATCAAAAATTGACTTTCTCAGCAAACTTCAGCTTGTTCATATGATTTTTAGAGGTTCAGAAGCATTTTCGTCTTTGACGATTGGAGTATAATGAAAATATGTTATTACAGGGCCGTAACACTGTTAATTGTATGCATTCTTGCCCTCATCAACTTTATAAAAAATTTATTTGTTTTCCAATAATTAAAATTATAAAACAATATTGAAAAAAAGAGAATTTGGGATTTTTAGTCTTTATTTTTAATGCGGCGATACATTTTCGTTAACAATTTCGTTTTGCAAACATCCCCTAGCCCGTCATACTGCAGTAAGTGCAGTCGATATTGGCCTATAAATTTCAATTTCAGAATGCAAAATCAATTAGGCTCAGGAAGGGATTAATAAAGTTGACATCATAAATTTTGTAGTTACTTGGTATTTGGCGAAGTTCGTAGAATTAAGAGAATGTATGGGAAGAGCTGCATCGTAAATATCGTTACCTAAATGTTATTTTGTGAAAATGAATATATAATCACAATATAAAGTTACAAAAATATGTATACAGTCTCGAAATTATCGTTTATGAGTTTGGTACTTAAATATTCAGCTGCTTTGTTAGAAATACATTCTGGAGTACAGTGTCGATTATTCGAACGTCGTTCAAAGGAACGACCGGTTATCCGAACTCCCGACTCCCACAATTTTTACAAGAAGCTGATTCATTAATTAAATTCATTGATTGTCACTCGGCAGTTAAAATAGATAAGAGGGTCATTTAATATAGGTCAAAATAGTGTATGCGTCACATTCTTGAAAATATTGTTGGTTGTAAATATTGGTATAAATGTATTAATCAGTTCTGAGTAGCCGTTAGACAATAAACGAAATTTTATCGCGTCAAACGCAAACACTTCTTAATAGAAAATGCCTAAACATAAGCGTGTTGTCCTATCTATGAAAGATATATACGATATTAATAAACTGTTAGAGGAAGGTAAATCTGCAACCAAGTTATCCAATGAGTACAAAGTTGGTAAATCTACTGTTCCGTAGTTGTGTGGATGCGTGTGTGATAAACTTCTTTACCACGAAAACAATAATAAAATTAAACGGTATTTTTTGTAAATGTATCGCGGACGGAAGCAAACGGTATCTCGAAAGATTACTAAAAACTCAAAACTAAATCACAACACGCGTTCTTTTATTTTAAAAGCCAGACGATAAACTTTTATTATAGGGCTGGTCGCTATATTATATTTCGTTTCCCATAAAAATGCAACGCACTCAAAATGTATAATTTAAGTGTCGAGCATAACTAATACATGTAGTAATTAAATAAATATATTGAGGAACACATTTCTATTTCTTATGTGTATAACCAAATGCGAAAATGTAAATTTTAAGATTGTTTTGTTGAGCCTGGGTCTTCAAAAAGAGCTCAAATCAACTGAAGGACAGTGGTTCGATGAAGAGTGTCTTAACATAACAGAGAGAAAAAATAAGGCATATCAACGACTACAACAACGACATAGAAAATGAAAGGCAGAGGAGGAATATAGAATGCTAAGGAGGGAAGAGAAGAAAATACGCAGAAAGAAAAGAAAACACATAGAAAAAGAACTCCAAGAAATGGAAGAACTAAATAAACCATCAGAAACCAGAAAATTCTACAAAAAACTTAACAAAAGCAGAAAAGAGTTTAAACCAAGAACAATGGTGTGCAGAGACAAAGGAGATATAGTAACTCAACAGAGTGAAATACAACAAAGATGAACAGAATTCTTCAAAGAAAAGTTTGAAAAAAAAACGAAGATTCACTATATAATGGAATTATACTGGATCAAACGGATACCAGAGAAACAACCCCCCCTTCAGTAGCTGAAATGTAAGAAGCAGTTAGACTGAAAAACAACAAGTCACCTGGATTAGACAACATTAGCACAAAATTAATAAAGGAAGGTGGAGACTCCCTATTGAATGTGATACACTAGAGGAATAATAATAACAAAAAGTGTACAAATATTGGCATTTGCAGATGATGTTGATATTATAGCTAGAAGCAAAAGAGAGATGATAGAAGCATTTAATGCGATAGAAATAGTGGCACAAAACAGTGGCCTAAGCATTAACGAAATAAAAACCAAATTCATGAAGGCCAGTAAATCGACAGGCTAAAGAAACCTGAATAGACCCTTATTATCAGAATCTGACAATAGGGGACTATAACATTGAAAGCGTGAAAAATTTTACATATCTAGGTTCACTAATTACCACAGATAACAATGTCAGTGAAGAAGTTAAGAGAAGAATACATATCGCTAATAAAACATATAATGGAGTACTTAAACATCAAAGATCTAACAACAACAAAAGAAAAACCAAATGCAAAATATAGGTACAAGACCCTGATAAAATCAGTCCTTGTATATGGATCAGAGACATGGACACTGTCGAAAAGCAATGAGAACATATTAGGTACATTTGAACGAAAAATCCTTAGACACATATATAAAGGAATAAAGGAAAATTATGTATGGCGAAGAAGATATAACTTTGAACTATACACAGCATACATTGAACCCGTGATCATAACATCTATAAAGATCGGATGTCTGCACTGGATGGGCCATGTAGAAATGATGTTGGAGACTGAAACACCAAAACATATATGAGGCAAACACTAGTAGAGAGAAGGTCAAAGGGGAGACCCAAACTTAGATACATGGAACAGGTGGAACAAGATCTGAAATCAAGATTACCAACTGGAAAAACAAAGTAAGGAACAGAACATAATGGCGGAAAATCCTAGAACTAGCCAGGACCCAGAAAGGATTGTCGAGCTACTGATGATGATGATGAAGAAAATGGGACATTTACAGCCCCTTTAAAAAATTTCCAAGACTCAGCTAATTAAATGATTTGAATTTTTTAAAGCGAATTTGAAAGCCTCTTTGTTCTGTATACTTAATAGATCAGTGATTTATATAAAAAAGAATTTTCCAGACAGACTTACACTGGAAAATGTTTATGCAAAAACAGAAAAAAAGTTATCATATTTTTCTTTATGGCATTGCTTGGGAGTTCAAATTTTTCACACCAAATTTTCAGAAGCTTTAAAGTTTTTTCTGATTTCCCATAGCTAATTTCCAAAAAAATGTTACTTTTTACGAATCTTCATTTCTGTGTGATTTAATTCTTACTATTTTTGTTGGTAATAAGCCACGATATAAGTTAAAATAAATTTATTTTGGACTTTTCAATTTCCACTTCAGAAATCGTTCTCAAAATATAAACATTAATAAATTAAACAAATTTTGCAGTAATTTGGTGAAAACATTCTTCTAATCATTTAATTTTATCTGACTCATTCGAAATATCAAAAATAAACTTATTTTAAATTTAATTGCATTAGATGCCACAAGAAAATAGCTTGACAAGAACAACACTTCCTTTCGTAGGAAATTTAACCCTTAGTCTCCCACAACATTTAGATTTTTTTTCTTGACCGTAACTTCCCAACAGTACTTTTAAGTCCGCCTTATTTTATTGGTCATACATTTTTACAATAAGATAAAAGCATTGTTTATTAGGGACAATCCTTGCAAGTACCTACAAATCTTATTGTGTATTTAAACAAAATTGTTTGAATAATATTCGAAGTTTTAAACATCAGTTGAAGACTATGGTTGTGAATACAAGTTTATGTGGTAAGTATTGTTAAATTTTATGCCTGGGATATAAGGGTACCAGAATTTGATGGCACTTAAAAGTACCATTGGGAGACTAAAGGTATACATAAATTGTGAGATATGAATTGCTACATCCAACTGTTAAATTATTTACATCTGCTAAACATAGACATGTGCTATGTGACCTTCCTATATTAGACTTACTATCAGTTTTCATATGTACAACTCAATATTTATTTTATATGTATGTCATATGTCATATTCTGCTATAGGTTTCTTTTAGAAATGTGCTATGTGACTGTTCTATAGGTTTGTTCCAACACAACGAAAAACCATCACGTAACGGTTACGCTCCTGCGCACTAAACAAAATATGTTCCAACAAAAATATGATTGATCATCTCATCGTCCTTCCAATCGTTCCAACAAAAATGTGAACAATAATTTCAGTAATCTGGCAAATGCATGTACTGGTTGGGATGACTTGCGCAGTATGATTTTATTCTACTTCTTTAAATTTGTTGGGCATAGATTAACTTAGATTTTATATTAAAACTGTAAATTTGTTCAGAAAAAAGAAGTTAGGTGTTAATGATTTTATCAGGTGCTTATATTATACTTGTTATTTATTTATATATTTGTTTTTCGTTATTTGTAACTTTATAAATATGACTGACGACGAAGGAATTAGTGATTTTTCTGATTATTATAGTAGTGAAGATGATTTCTAGCTATTAGCCGAACCTAGGGTGAAACCCAGAATTATTTAGATAGATCGTCACCATATTCTGTCAGTTGTCAGGAAATCGTTCCAACATCCGATTCCACATTACCATCATCAGATGATATAAGTAATGAACATGCGCATTAAAAACTGTACAAGTAGTTTTCATGACAGTTTCCGGACCGTACAAAATTTGCGTGTTGGAACAAACCTTATATTAGACTTATTATCAGTTTTCATTTGTACAACTCAACATTTATTATATATGTATGTGAAGTACGTACAATGTTCTATAATGTTTGTAATGACTATTCTGTCATAGGTTTTTGTTTCTGACCAAATAATTCAGGATACAGATAGTTGCCATTTCTTTGTTTGTCTGCAATTTTTGACTGTTTTTTTTTAGGTTACTAACATGTTACTAACATACAACAATAATAAAAACCTTTTCATTCTTGGCTGAATTATTATTATTGTCATTATGTAACCTAGATATATAAAAATATTGTTTTGTATGTATTGTTAATCAATTGTAACACCTTAGCTTTGGCAAAGTTATACAAGGGTATGTAAAACTGTCCTATTTCTGTGTAGACATTGCTGAGACCAACACCAAGATTAGATAATTCAAATTAGTTGATTTTTCTTCTACTGTTTTGAGAATTGTAATCCTAATGGACTTTTTCTATAATTAAAACCAAATAATTTCTTTGGTTAATTCAGTAATACTATTGATCAATTATTTTCATAGAAACTTAGTACATCAAAATCCTATTAAAAAGTATAAATATTTTTTCATATAGATACAAATTTACCAAAGGCACTAATTATTTTTGTTTTGATAACCTCTAAATATTGACTGTTACTAGAACCACAAAATTTCCACAAAAATTATAATCAAAAAATAAAATATTTTGAAATTTTTTATAAAAAGAAACGGCCATTTTGGAATATAGGAACAATATTTTTCTTGTGCTAATATAATTTGAGTAGCTTAATATATTATTAATTTGCTTCGCATTACACATGAAATATTTATATTGGAATATATCTCTGAACGTTATCTTTTTTATAAAGCCGGTTAAAGACTATTTATCAGCGGATGACAGCGAAATTATAGCTACATCCAAATGTAAATAATCACCATTATCCTGTTTGATAAATTTTAGCTTTCATTCATTGAATCATTTCTATTTGAATCAAATTTACCTTGTTCTATTAACCTAGTGGCATTAGGTAGTTTATGCTGATCAATCGATAGCTTTTCCGCTAACAATTCTTTGACATATTCGCTTGCTCTTTGGCTTGTTATGTTTTCTTCGGTGTCACCAGCAGTCTCAGACTCTCTTTTAGATGAGTCTTCTCCACCTTTTCTTTTGGACTTGTCATCATAAATACCATAATACTCCTCGCCATTTAAATCAAATTTGTCCGTCATTTTGTAACAACTTTTATTAACAACGCCAAATAATGGATAACGAAATACGGAACGAAACACGAAACTTGCCGAGTTCTGATTAGTGATTACTGACTTTCTGAAACTCCCGCAACTTCCGTTACCGGCGTAAAATGCAATGTCCGGGTCATTGTACCGGCCGGCTAAATCCATGGAACACCAATTAATAAATTAATTTTTAATGGTTAATTATTTATTATTAATGATAATGAAATATTATTTTCTTTACTGTTTAACTACATAGCCCTCTCGCAAGGTAACTGCTCATAAAAAGATTTGGCAGAGTTCCTAGCGCCATATGCGGACGGGCCGAAACTAAAACTGACAAAATTAAAATGTAGGTTCTGAATATTAGGCGGCAAATTAAAAAAATGCTCTGAATTTTAGGCGACAAAAAATTTAAAGTGTGCTTGTAATGAAAAATAAATACATATAGTCATGAAAATAATAAGAATTTAGGTTGAGTTTACCGTAAGTATAAGCTGAATCACTGAATATAGTCGCAAATGTCAAAAATATTTCGGTTTGGCAGTGTTGGCATATTTTTATAATGCATATTTGTATGCTTCAAATTAAAGAGATTACCAAAAAATATATTCTCTCTGTCCAAAAATATTGTGAATAAACTTAAGCATTTTTATATACAAATGCACAACACAATATCAGACAGAGAGATTACATATGTACAGGAAAGTTTTATTAATATATTATAGTTTTGACCATATCTATGTTCCATTACATTAAAAAATCAAAATCCCGAAATTAACAAAATAAAACACAGATATCCTGACAATTTTTTATTTGTATAATTTTCTTTGGTAAAGTATTGATACCAAATATCCTCCTCATTCCTTAACCCATCAAAGCCTGAATTATTTTTTTTGTAAAACTGGTGGTTTTTTGCTCAGTTTGTTATTTGGGTTAATATGAAAAACTAGTGAAACCATGGCAACAGCCACAGCCAGCTAAAGGTGGCTGTGCAACAGCCATCGAGCAATAAGACAAAAGAGGGAATCTAATCGTTATAAAAAGGAGACCAAAAAAGTGGCCTCTGATGGCGGACACATCCGGAAATGCAAAGGCGCTAAATTTAAATTTTCCAACATTTGTTAACAATAGCTATAAAATATTTTTCAGACTAGAAAGTTTTAATTAAATATTAACGATAATAGTCTAAAAAGTGACATAATTGGTAAAAAACTTCAATATAAATAAAATTTCATGTGACAGTTGGGACAAACAATAACATAACCAAACTAAATTTGACTTCTTAAACAAGGAAAGAGACTGTCTATCCTTGTCTAAAGTGGCCTCTCAAGATGGCACTTCCTGTCTATCAATATGTTTACCCCTTCTACCTTTACATTCCCTCTTTTGTCTTATTGCTCGATGGCAACAGCACATACATCAACAAGTACATCAACGTCATACGACGCCTCTTGCTATGTACCGCCACTGAACATGACTAGTAGCGCCGCTGCTACTACGAACGGCTGGGCCCATGTAATTCACTCTCCCTAGTTGTCCTATTAAACTTCCACTACTATTTGTGGTATGTACTGTGATAAATTCGTTCTCTTCTTGTAGAGTAACCACTAACTTGCAATTTACGTGTTCTGTGCTTTCTATTTACATTCTTCTGTAGAATTTTTACATCTCTGTCATCAACCATCACATTTGTCTTTTATTCAAAAAGACACAGTTCTTTAATAGTTACTATTTTCTGTAAAACTCCATTGTAGAAAAGTATTTATGGTTACTGCATTAAATTAAGCGAATTTTATTTTTATTTTAAGGAACACTATTAGTATTAATTCGGTTGGCTGTTGAAGACAGAGTTACCTTGCCTTAAAATTATCAGATATAAGAACAAGAAGATTTGAAGATTGTGACACTGACATTTGTAGAAAAATAGTAATGTTTTGAAGATTGTATTTTATATTATTGGAAGTAAATTTTCCTTCAATAATAAAAGAATTGAAACAATGGACAATGAAAATTCTGTTATTTATGGTTTAGAATTCCAGGTAATTTTTGTATGATATATACGTGTGTCAATTGTTTTATATAATCTTATTTTTAGGCCAGAGCCTTAACTCCACAACAAGCAGAAACTGAAAAAATAAGATTTATAATAGGAACCCAATTTCTCAAACAAACTAATAATCAAATCCATTTGATAGAGTTTAATGAAGAAATATCTACAATAAAAACTTCGGTGAGTTTAATTAATTACTTTCCTAAAAATTATTCTATTACATTTCATATATTTTAATTTTTTAAAATTATTTCATAATAGGTATTCCATCATTCAGCGGGAGAAATTTGGAAATTAACGTCTAGTCCAACTGATTCCTCCAAGATATCAACTTGTTACAACTCTCTGCTAGGGGAAAACAGCTGCATCATGAAAAGTGCAATTTTAAAACTACCTGAAAACGAAAATCATGATACCATAGAAAATCTAGAAATTGTAACAAAACTGGATACCTCTTCCTTTGGAAATGATATTAAAACTACAGAATTCCATCCAACTGAGGCAAATACAGCAGTTACCTTAACAGACAGCCATGTTGTTCTTTGGGATATTTCTGAGACTGAAGGAAGAGCTGTTAGTAACATAGCCTTAGAAGGAAAGAATAATCCCAAGTTTACAAATGGAAAATGGAATCCACATCAAAATTGTAATCAGGTATCTATTATTCCATTAAAGCAGGATTTTGTTGCAAATTATTTTTCATATTTCAAAGTTTATCTCTCTTATTATTATGCCTTTTAAGACATTAAAAATGTTCAAAAGAGTGTTTATGATTTGCTACAATGCTTCCAATGCAGCCTTAGTTTACCTCTAGATCTTTGTAAAATGCAATAAAGAGTTTGGAAAAATTAAACACAATATTCATACTTTTACATAGAAATTTATACTTTAAAAACAATTAATTTGTTAGTGATGTAATAATTGACTGTAGAAGGTCTATTGAACATCTCAAGAGAGGTATCCTTATGTATATTTGATAAGATGTAGTAAGTAGATGAGAGAAGTTATTCAATCAGTTATCCATGTTTTTGTAGTTTAAGACAAGAGTATCTTCACTATTTCAAAACAAATCTTCAACTTATATGTATGTAAACTGTATACTTTCTATTTTAATGATATCTAGTTAAAATTTACAAAGAAAGCAGTAATTTTTTCATAACTGTACTTAAATGAATCCATGTCATAAATTATGTGGTAACGTGTCTAAAAATTGGTATTGTGTAATAATTTTTGAACTTAGTGGTACAAAACAACTACTTTAAATGATTAACTATCCAAAAACCTTTATTTTAAGCAAATGTTCGTTATCCATACTGCCGGAATTTTTAAATTAACTGTATCTGAAGATAAAATTACAACTAAAAGCTGCAAACTAGGGATATTGTTGATGTACCCTTATAAGTTGGCATTTTGATAGTGAGAAATTAGTTCCGCTATCACTTAATAGATGTGAAAATAAGTTCATGTGTCATTTAGTAGAGTGCAGCAGTGATGTATTAAATAGCGATAGATGCATGTTTGCCGAATTTAAGAAAAATCTGCAAAACATTGAAAACTAGTTTTGTGGTTAGATATACCAATTGTCTATGAGTTATGCAGTAACTATGGTAACGAATCACATGGTTTTGTGTTTTGTTATCAAAGCCTCCCCTCCCAGTTAATATTTTGGCTTTGGCATCATTTGACTTTCTTTGTTCAATTATGATTGTATAACATAACGGAACAATGTCTTAAATATACAAGTATACCATTTTTTTCCTTGGCACCTTCAAGTTATAATATAATTGTGGTTGAAAGTCAAACTATGGTCGGTAAAGTTTACTGCGGGATTATACTGGTTTTTACATAATACATAAACATAAAACAATTCCAGTTTTATTAAATTTTTAACAAATTTAATTTTTATAGACAAAACAATATAATGTAATGATCAATTAAATTTTGTCAAGTAATTATTTCCGAAAGAGAAAAAGATTATTAATATTTACTTTAGTCATAATTAGAAATAAGATGAAAATCTGAAATTTTCTGAGAAACACTTCCCCTGTTGACATTCGATATGAAAAAAATTGTTATTGTAGTGATGCTGTTTTTCAACTGATTAACTTATTTCAGATTTTTTATAAATACTGTTTTTATACATAAATAGTCCAATTACCATAATCCCTTTTTTGATCATTATTTACCTGTTTTTCAACAAATTTCTTTATCAGTTTGGAATAAATATTTTTGGGCAGGTAAATAATTCAGAATTGTCGCCTGAAATGTGAGTACATAATAAAATACTTCCAAATGAATGAACCTTTTGTAGTATAAATGTCAAGTAACTATATTTATTTAAAAAAATCCCCAATCAGCACATCCAGCTGAATGCTGGCGGAGGCATTAGTATAAGGCAATTAAAATGTATGACATGTTTCTCTGGGAATCTTTCATATTAATAATAACTAGCGGACTAACTCGACATCGAGTTTTGATGTAAGTTTTGCTGATATTTAAGAGGGGCGGAGTCTAACGATCCATCGTTTTCGTCGCCTGGTCTAAATGTTCCAAAAATCCTAAAAATAAACTGTATCGACACCAATTTTTTCAAATTGAAAATCCATACAGTAGTTTTTTAGGATTTTCAGGAAGATTTACATTAGGAAACGGAAACAATATGATTGTTAGACTCCGTCCCCCTTAAATAAAAAACGGAAGTAAAACCGGAAGTAATTTTTTTTGCATATTTTAGATTGTAAAATGCCACGTTTAAGAAAAAGAACTCGGTTTGAGAACTCGCGGCCCCGTTCATATGCTCTGGAACACCGTGAAAGAAACCATAATTTTCAAAACTAAATCCGGAAGTAGGGAAGTAAATACTTCCGGTTTCATAATTCTGAATTCAATCAGTAAGTATAAGAAAAAAGTAGACGCGGTCATATTTTAAAAATACATTGAAAATTAGGACTATAAATTTTGAAGAATGAAACCTGTAAAATTCCTATACTTTACTATAGGAAAAATTCATTTTATGGCCGCCATTTTAAACCGGTTCGAATTTTTTAAATTTGAAACCTTAGGGGGAATCTACTCAACAATCTGTTTAATTATTCGAAAAAATTATTCTCCTATCTATCACCGTTTAGGAGGAGTATTGCGCACAAGAAAAGGGCTTAGCCTTTTAGTGTATAAGATATTAGAATTGCATAGTATACATACAGTTAGTCGAATTTGTATCTACTGCCAAAGGAAACACACTTGTGTAATTTAATACAGAAGTAAGTTTTTGAACTTAAAATTTAATTTTGTATTATTTTGAACCCAGAAAATGAAGAACATATTATTTCTGCGAATACGCAGAACAGTAGTTCATATTGCATTTACGAAAATTCCTATTGTTTTGGACAGTTTGTTAGCTGAACTCTGAACCGGTAGACACGCGACCCTGGCAGAAAATTAGCGTACAGTGGGAACCCAGGAACTTTTACAAGTAAAGAATACAATGAGTTTTGTGAAGTGGAGAGTGCGGTACTTAAAAGTATATTCGAAGAAGCTTCCAAAGAAGAGTTAATTATTCCTTAAGAGAAGTTAATACTTTGCCTCCATCTAAGGTTAGATGGAGGCAAAGGATAAATACAGTGCAAGGTACTTTAAACTTTAGTACAAATATGATAACAGAACAGATTCAGTAACTTCAAAGTCATCAAGTGTAAAGGTAAGAGCAAATTTAAATTACCTCCAATCGAGTTCAAAAGTTATTCAGAGATTGCAGTCAGGTTTGGCAGAGAGGATCTCCAGATTGAAGTTTACATTAGAGAGCTCTTAAAGTTAATTTTAAGTTGAGTTTCTAGTAGTCCTTGTATAATATTTCTGCTCTTTATATGATTGATAGTCAACTTCGTTCACTTGAGAGCTTAGACAAAACTGCTGACAAGTTGGCGGCGATATTGTATCCTCTTATTGAGTCATGTCTGCCAGAAAATATGATTCGACTATGGCATCTTATGTTTTCTTGTCCATGGAAAATCTTGAAAAAACTGCAGAAAGTTACAACTTTAGAAACAAGATTGGGTGGGCTAATGACCTTTTTACCTGAGAGTGGATTAAAATTAACAAAAAATTGATTTAGCAATGGAAGGTTTTCGTTTACCGGCTGAAAATAAATATAAATTGAATAGCTTTGTTGCCAAGAAAAATGTAAAATTACAAAGAACTGATCAGTCCTTAGCGTTCGCTGCTAAGTTAATAAATTATGAGGTTTACAGGTGTATATTTTTATTATAAGTATTTTTTTTACTTGAAATAAATAATTTTTTTAATTTAATTAGGAAACATGACTGATATGCACTATTTAAAATGTTTACAAAACTAAAAAAACAACACAAATAAAAATCAAAACAGCAATTTAACTTCAAAGGTAAATGAACAATAACACAATACGATACAAAAATTTTAAAAATATATGTAATGATCCAATTCAAAAATTAGAATTTGTGAAACTGTATATTATATTTTAAGTTCCAGTACTTCGCCTCATTGGCAACACTGTCGCTGTTCAGAGAATTAAATTTCGAGAAAATCAAAATATTAAAATATGATGCATGTGTTGCCATCTATTCCAAAAATTGATAAATGTTAGTTTATTTGAATACCACTCATTTTAACTGTGGCGTGAACATACCCCCTTAACTGCGTTTTTTCAAACTTTCCTGAATGCCTTGGGTGCTTGCACTTACTATAACTTTATCAAATATGCATTATAGTAAGAGTATGGAAATATAGATGATTTGTTTATAAAAGAGAGAAATATATTTTATTGATACTATGTACCAAAAGTCCATCAACTGAAGTCTTTCAGCTAATGAATAATATATTTCAATAAAAAATTGGCTTTATGTAAAATATGTTATAAATTGATTTATTTATTTAATAGATTATTGTACTACACTTTTCATTTTAGTTCAGTACAGCAACTGAAACACATATAAAGACTTACGACATTAGATCTGGAGAATTAGCATGGAGTATAGATCAAGCACATTGTCAATTTATACGTGATATGGATTATAATATGAACAAACTATACCATCTAGCTACATGTGGAGATGATGGGTTTTTGAAGATTTGGGATTTCAGGCAAACTAGTGCTCCAGTATTTTCAAGAAGTGACCATTCTCATTGGTAATATATATTAGCAATTACAAATCTACAACTTTTACTTAAAAAATTAAAATACTAATACTAAATCAAAATGCCTGGTACTACACTCACCGGCAAAATTAACGGAACACCTTAAAAATGGGACATGTTAGATGACTCGAATTTCCTAAAGCTGTTGTCCGATTTTAGTGATTTTTTTAGTATGTTATAGGTGTATTATTTAAGAATATCAATGAAATAATATTGTTGCTAGACAGGTCAATGTCATTTTATACCGGGTGTAACAATCCTACTGTGTTTTTTCCATAAAGTTCGAAACACCCTGTGGCATATTCTAGCATATATAAAATATTGAAATTAAAGCTCAATTATAGTCTCAGGCTTTCTTAACATTTTCTTTTTTGATTCATTTGCTTGTGTGGGATAATAAAAAAGTTAGGTACATTAACAACTAGCCATGTTTTTCATCAATAAATGCTCATTTTCTTCTTAGTTTCACCAACATATTTAAAGGAACAACCATAAAATCTGAGTATTTTCTCTCTAGTCTATATACTGTTTAGATAATATCATAATACGAATGTTGATGAAGCATTTTGAATTTATATTACAATGGTAGTACAATATAAAACCTGTTTAAGAAGAAATAAAACACAAAGATGTCAGACTCAACAAAATACGGATTTTAAATGCATTAACTTTATTGTACAGTTTGAACTTAAATTGGTTTTTTATGCATTTTTTTGGCTTTAATAGCGTGTGTTTCCCCTACGAGCCCTTAAAACTGCAGTTATTCGTCTTCTCATACTTCTGATACCGCTATCGATCAGTTGTTGGGCAGTCTCTCCCATTCCTCAATCAAAGCAATTGTGACTTCCTCTCTGTTTGGAATAGCAGGAACCCCTGCCCTAAGTTTTCTGCCTAGCATGTCCCACATATCCTCTATCGGGTTTAGGTCTGGGGAACAAGCTGGCCAATTCATCGTTGTTATACCCACTTGTAATAAGAAATATCTTATACAGTCTGCGACGTGTGGGCTCGCATTATCCTGCATTAAAATAAAATTTTCGCCAATATATGGTGAAAAAGGTACCACATGGTCTTAGAGAATATCTCTGATATACTTATCTGCTGTAATGCTCCATCATCAATCACCACTAACTCTGTTATTGCTCCCAAACATATACCGCCCCACACCATAATTGAACCTCCACCAAAAGGTACGGTCGTAGTAAAATTGAAAGGGGCATTTCATTCTCCTTGGCGTTGATACAATCTTTCTCTACCGTCGATGTAATTTACACAGAAACGGCTCTCGCCCGTAAAGAGAATTTGACTCCAGTGGTTATCATTCCAATTTTGATGTACTCGACCAAATTGTAGTCATGCTAAACGATGGTGTCTCTGGAGTCTGGGAGCTTTTATTGGCACATATGACTTGAGACCGGCTTTTTTAAGTCTCTTTCTTACTATGCGCTCAATTAAATACAAGTTTGTACTTGTTATGAACAGACAGAATGACTGTAAAATGTAAAACACAATACAAATAAACAAATTAATTTGACATTTAAGACTTTCTTGTGACAAGGAGCTTTCAAAGCTATGTAGATATAGTCTATAAAATACAAATATAAAGAAATATTGCATTAATAATAGGTTCCATTTAAATTTGCCGGTGTGTGTATATAAAAATATGTTAACTTCTCATAGCCTACTTTAGGCTTGTTCATTAAATTAAGCAGAAAATGAGGATTTATTGATGAAAAACATGGCTAGTTGTTAACGTACCTAACTTTTTTATTATCAAACATAAGCAAATGAATCAAAAAAGAAAATGTTAAGAAAGCCTGAGGCTATAATTAAGTTTAATTTCAGTATTTTATATATGCTAGAATATTCCACAGGGTGTTCCGAACTTTAAGGAAGAAACACAGTAGGATTGTTACACCCGGTATAAAATGGCATTGACCTGTCTAGCAACAATATTATTACATCGATATTCTTAAATAATATACCTATAACATACTAAAAAAATCACTAAAATCGGACAACAGGTTTAGGAAATTCGAGACATCTAACATGTCCCAATTTTAAGGTGTTCTGTTAACTTTGCCGGTGAGTGTATTTTGTTTACAATACATTGTGCTTGTTTAGACTACTTCAATAATGAAATTTGAAACATCTTTTAACACATAATGAAATTTATTTCCATGCAATTTGTTTAATCATCATCATCAAAACAATTATAAACTTGTTTTAATGTTTTTTTGGTTGTTGTTTATGTTAATAAGACTGTAATGTAATATTATAAATTATATTTTAGGATATGGTGTGTCCGATTTAATCCATTTCATGACCAGTTGGTGTTAACAGCCAGTTCAGATGCACGAGTATTATTATCAAGTGCTGCAAGTGTCAGTTCAGAAAATCTCAGTGAAACACTTATTACTGATGATAAAGAAGGCCTGGACACAAAACAAAAGTAAGTAATTTGATCATGTTTATTACATGATATATTTTATAACATATTTTTTTAGGTTAAAAGATGGCCCTCTTCAATGGTGTGAGCATGAGGACAGTGTGTACTGTGTTGAATGGTCGCCTGCAGAACCATGGGTGTTTGCTTCATTGAGTTATGATGGTCGGCTACTGATATCTCATGTGAAGAAATCTCTTAAATACCAAATTTTATTGTAAGACTAGATATTTTTCAGTTTTTTTATATTCATATTTTATGTTATAATATTTATTAAATGTTGATTATAAACTGTGTGTGTTTATTTTGCTCATCCTATAAAATTTATCATAAGTGATATTAACATGTAAAATGCCATGGGGAATCAATTTGATCCACCTCAATAAAACTCAAGAATATTTAAATTTTATTTATTCAGCAACAGTCTCACTATTTTTTAAATTCTTAATTACATGCTTAACTAAACATTTTTTAATAAGTGGAACAATTTCTTCACAAGCCTTATCAGCAATTCCAATAGCTTCTGTCACCTTGGCTAAGGATATACTTCCTGTCTGGTAAAAATGTGAAATCTGATTATGTGTATGAAGCTTAGATATCACTATAATTCCATGGTCATTATTCTTTGTGTCCCTAGAGAGAGGAAACCGACTTATGTTCTGTTCTTTACAACTGGGATCCACAAATATAGTATCTTGTTGTATGCCTAGAGTGACAGATGTTATTATGTCATACATAGGAACTCCTGCATGGCTTAATGCCAATCCAGCAGCAGTTATTGCTGCACTTAAACAAGATCCATCATTATGCAGTACCATGGCATAAATATCAACCTAAAAATAAAAAAAAAAGCTATAAAAAAAATTTAATTGATATATTAATTATTATTACTATTATCTTTTTTATTTGAATTATCCTATTGGAAAACATCTCAATAAGCTGTAGATGAAAAAAACAGGTACATAATATAAAGCTTCTTTAATATGAGGGGTATAGAAGCAAAACCCGCCAAGTCACATTTTTGTGAAATCTGCGTTTGATGCAGGAATTTGTTCTTTATGTGTATATACATAAGTTCAAACATTCAATTTAAGTGCAAATTCCACCTTAAATCGGAGTAATTTAAACGAGAAAATACGCCTAAGCTGCAGAACCCGCCTTGTCCAAAAAAATTTACTTACAAACACTGCCAAGTCCGGCCTTGCTAATGGCGAAACATTTGGGCTGACACTTGACTTAGCCGTTCCCGCGGAATGGCATGTGACAGCTTCTAACCATGTAATAACTAATTGGGATGTAAAATTTGTTGTCTTAAAAAAGTTTATTTTTATGAGTTTATGTTATTTTCAATTTATAACACTAATTACATGAATATAAACAAATCAATATGTTTCAAATACTAAGAATCTAATGTTTATAATAATTTATTAAGTAAGGTTTAGAAACACATGTTTTTCCTAAGTTTTTAAAACCGGAATTTGCTTCTATACCCCTTATATAGATTGTCTCTTTAGACATCTTAAGATTATTATTGATTCAGATTAAATAAACTAGCAAGGTTATAGTTTTATACTACTAGCTAGGCAATAAGATTTACATTACAAGTGCTAAATTACCTGGAAATTTGGAAATTCGTGACGGCATACAGTTGACTCTAGTGCTTGTTTCATTATTACACTGTATTGTTTTTCTTCAGTATCCTGTTGATGTAACCTTCTTTTTTTACAACTGAATGGCGCAAACTTAAATTCACAATAAATTTCACCCTTTAAGGAATAATCCGACCTGTTTGGAATCTCTCTTGGATCAAAAACTGATACTATTACTTTGCTTTTTTCCATTTCAATGTATGCTGAACCCTTTGCTTGACTTATCACACCAGTTTTGATAACTAAAACAGGAATAGGTTAGTTTTAAACAATTTAATAGTTCGTGAAGGTTTACAAATTTTTCTGTGTTCTTGAAAAGATCTGGAATCACTTCTTATCCCATTTTTTAAAATTTCTTCAAACGACTCCGATAAGGATGTCTTGTTTTTCTTTGCGAATAATTCGTACGGCAGAGTGTCTTCTGGCCCATTAATTCTTTTGTGGTCGATTGGCATATTCAATAAATAGTACTCTATAATAATTTTAGACAATTTTGAACTTCACGTTTATTTACCAATATACAGTAAGGTTATATTTCTTCTTTTTTATTATGTTGTCAGAGAACTAAGTAGTTTAACCTAACCTAAGTAATTTTACGTCCCATTTAAATTTACCGCCTTGTATATATAGTTACGCACCCTGGCGCTAAATAATGCGCCAATCGTCGTTTTACTTTTTAACATGGGACTGGCACTGCTATTTAGAAGTGTGCTGTGGTTGTCAATTTCATCGGGGACGAAGGTACGGTTAGGTTGATTACCTAATACTACTGTTTCGTAAATTTTATAAATTTTTAGAACTGATTCTAGAAAAATGGCTCTAAGCTTTGTCCAGAAACGTTTCATGTCCAGCGGATTACAAAAATGGGCATACAATTTGGCTGGTTTCAACAGGTATGGTCTCTGGAGAGACGATCTTCTCCATGAAGATTCTGATGTTGCAGAAGCCCTTAAACGTGTACCACAGAAAACAATTGATGAAAGAAACTACCGCATACTTAGGGCCACCCAACTTTCCCTTTCTCATAGTATTTTACCCAAAGAACAGTGGACAAAACTGGAAGATGATAAACTATACCTGACTCCATTGGTCAACCAAGTGATTAAAGAAAGAAAAGAACGTGAAGAATGGAACAAAAATTATTAAATATTTAGTGAACTGTAGTAATTTGTACAATATTTATGTAAGTTATGTGTTAAATAAAATTTAATCCTGGAAAGTTATTTTTGTTATTTTGACCAAATACAAGTGTAGATCTAAACTTTGTTTATTTTCAATAATAATGCCTTAAGTGATGCATATAGACATAGATAAAATGTTGAAAGAAGGTCTTAATACATGAAAATATTGCTAGTTTTATTAGATATAGTGTAATTGAAATATTTTGGGAAACTTAGATACCTGATAGTAGAATAAAGATACCTGATAGTAGTAAAAAAGTCCCACATCTTTAAAAATATACCATTGCCAAAAAAAAAGCAGAAGCATAGAACATTCCAATTAGAGTAAAGTAAAGAAAGCAAACATTTTTATCATATTACATATATCTGAGACGAAAATGTTTGTGAATAAAGGGGATGTCAAAAGTCAAAGGAAAAATACTTTGATAGTTAATTACATGGGGAGTTTGACAGAAACCTAATTTATGTAAAGAATAGCCTAACAGCAATTGTCCCCAAAATAATCACAGAAAAGTTGGAAGTATTTGCACAGATCTACTGTGCATAAGTAGCAATTACTAATGTCATGAGCATTAAGATCATGAAATGGGTCTAATATTGGAAACACTGATCCCAGAGTTTCACACTGAGAAAAAAAACAATTATTAAGATAAATTGGTCTGGTGATATTGGCCAAATGGTACAATATATTTGACAAGTGAGAATGGTAAGCAAGCAAATTAAAGATATTTGCTTATCATGAACGGAGTAAAAATCAGGCACTGTTTATTGGCTACCTAAGCAGATACAATGATGGTAACAGTTAAAAAAGTGATGATGCACTTTTTGTGCTACAGAGGTTTTCTATAGCAAACTCAATGCTACTGTAGAAAGGGCAAGTAAATTGTACTAAAAGCAGAAAGAAATTTGTGTTTAAAACCGTAAAATAGTTTCGAAACACCTTTGAATAACTGTTATGATGAGACCTATTAGGTCGAAATACATATCAACAGATACAAAGGTGCTTTTTGCGTGAAATCAAATATTTGCTGTCTTTTCACTAAATTTGGTTGTTTTTTTGGAAAGTCAACTTTCAAAATAAAAAACAAAAACAAAACGTTTTATAGCTGGACCAAAGTTTGCAATTTCTGACATAAGATGTAGTGTTCATGAGTGCTTAGCAATTTTTAATATTGTAATAAAAACTTTTAGCATGGCTTAGAAAACACCAAAAAGTTGTGTCTTGTGGCATCCAAATATAAAAGAAAATTTTTGGAATATACTTCAGCCTATCCTATAGAAAGGGCCCCCTAGTGCTTAATTCTCTTGTTACCATGGTTTTTTGATTTCTTATTGAAAGTGAATACCCAACCACAACTATTGAGATGAGAAAAACAGCCTCAGTCGTATCATATACTACACTGAGTATGATCAGTTATAACTAATCTTGGAGCGAAAGATAGATGGAAGGAGTATATAGGTTGATAAATTAATTTATTTTGTATGCAATACAGTAACACAGTTGAATTGAGGCATTAACATTGTTCAACAATCTTGAAAAACTTAACTAACTTCATTAAATGAGTTCAGAAGGTGTTTTCTTTTAGCATTTCAATATAATTTATTATAAAATATGTTTAATTTTTTGTTTTTGATTTCCACTTTGGTATTTTGAAAATTATTTCCAAAGTGGAAATCAAAACTTCAAAATAAACATATCTTAAACTAAAATTGTGGCTATTTCCCAATAAAAATGGTAAATTCATTAGATGAGGAACTTTTGTTTTGTATTTTGCAAAGTATTTGTTTTACATGTACATTATTTCCTAATAATTGAAAATCTTCATTAAATGGGGATTATCCCATTTTACATATTTTAAAATTTTTAGTGTTTCCAGTATATATCTATCTTCTACTGAATATTTTTTTCATCTTTCCTTAAGATTGATGCATTATATATTTATTTGGTTGTCTCTCTTATCTTTGTTCAATGTTATGTCTTTCGGCATTTGTTTACAATCAGTAAAGGTAGCTAAAAATGCAAATTTTTTTGGACTTAGCCTGAAAAATGGAAAAAAGGCAGAAATATCCTGTTTTTTTTAAATAAATATATAGAAAGTGTACATATGTTAAAAAAAATTGAAAATGTTCATAAAAAGTTGGAAATTAGCAAGAGAAAAATGTTATCAAAGTAGGAAATAGCCTTAGTTATATAAAATGTATAAATCAATTGTAAATACCAACAATTTTTCCCCATTAAATTAAACAAAAATATACAACACTGTAAAATGGTTATAATTCATTCATCTGGAAAAAGAAGTCAATCATGTTTGAGCACAATATAAAATATTCTGCACACATTTAATGTTGCCACATACACATTTATTCTTTGAGAAGTAACTATATTGTATTAATTTTTTTTAATAAAATAAAACCTAACATAATCCAACAAAAGAAAAGTTAATAACGACTGCATCATGAAATACAACATAAAACGAAATACTTACCAGTTTGATAGCAAGAGCAAAGAAGAAACAGAAATTGGACTCTTAATATTTTAGCAAAAACTCTTTCATCAGTAACAAATTAAAACCTAAACTGAAGAAATTATATCTAATCTGTATGTACCAATAAGTTAATAACAAATTAATAAGTTATATGAATGCCATATAAATAGGAAACTGAAATTACTCATTATCATTATTCCTTTATGATAGTACTCGAGAATTAGTCTTTTCACAATAAACAATATTTGAAAATTGTGGCAGGCAACATTGGTTCAAAGAGTATGTACATCATAGGCAGCAGCTGTAATGTCACACACAGTCTGAAATTGATGTCAAAATATCAGTTTTTTAATGAGAAATACAGAAAAACTATAGCTCAGCAGGAAAAAATATACAGATTGTTAAGTGGATTTTCCTTCACAAATGGATTAAATTGTTGGGAAAAACAAAAAAAAGAAAAACATAAAAAAAAGTTCTCATTTATTCTTAAATTATCTGAGGAAACATCTACTTATTTTATACAAATAAGAAAGTATACAAGAACATAATTAAAACTAAAATAGATTAAGGCACTTAAAACTATGAAAAAATAAATTAAGACACATCTTAATTTTCATCTTCCTCAATTTTAGGAGCTAAATAGTACCTCAAATGGCCCAAATCAGGTATTTGATATTCAACTACTAAAGGTACATTGTCAGACATTGATAGCTGCACAACATTAGTAAGAGGTGTTGCTTTGGTAAAAGAATTCAAATACTGACAAGCAAAAGTAAGAGTAACTGGTTCTTGCATTTCTATGCTTACAGATTCTTCTTCCTTTTCGAAATTACTTGTCTGGGCAATTTTGATGTTAGCACTGCCAATATCTCCAGAAGTTGAGAACCTAACACCTTCTTTTGTGCATGAGATTACAATAGATTCTCCAAATTGTGAAAGATCTTTGACTATTCTTGCAAATTCAGCTGCAGGCATCCTGATGACACAAGAGAAATCAGTTTCTGGAATACCCAAATGCTCTTGGTCCAAATTCATCAGTTTCATTTCATAATCTGAGATCTTGTCCTGCTTTTTGGCTTCAAACATAAATGTTACTGTGTCTGCATCATCTTGAGCTTTAATTGTTACTGTGTCATCATTGCTGGAACATTTGAAGATCTTTGACATGCTGTAACAAAATATTAAGCAATTAGTTAGCAACAAACACTTTGTTTTATAATAAAATAAATGTTACCATTAATACAGTATTATAGTCACATTTAAACATATTTTAACATGGCCAAGAAAATAATATAGAAGCAAAAAAGTATTTATAAGAATGATACCAAGATCAAACATTATTTCTATTTTAAAACCATAATTTAAGAATTTTCTTGTGCAAATTAAGTTATAGCAGATACTGACAGATTGTAACTAATCATGGATTATATAAAGCAACCACCATGTGATCTTGGGACCACATTGGGGCCCCCGTTAAAAAAATTAATACATAATTATAAATCTTACCTTCCCAAGTTCATGCCCATTGTAAGGTTTCTATCACATCTATATTTGTCGAATCCATCTGACTTCAGCGTAAGAGATACTAATGAAACGTGAGAGTTATCCATAGCCTGGAGTTGGATCCCAGATTCGGAACAATCGAAGGATGCTTCATTTAGAAGATCTTTGATTGCATCTAATACCTTTTTGAAGGTGGCACTTTGAACTAAGCGTGCTTCAAACATTTTCAATTTATTTGTACTAAATATACCACTTAAAATATTGAAATATACACGACACGACAACAAAGGACTATGGCCGGTAGAGAAGCGAAAACTGAAATAGAGGGAATTTTCCGCGCCAAATAGTTGACAGCAAACAGTCAATTTACCCATATAGCCAATGTGATAAATATAATTTTACTATCCAAGGATTATATTTTTCAAAAATGGCTAAATATTACTTTAATTCATTCCCCCCAGCTTGCTTTACATCAAAATATTGAATACAAATAGGAATAATTGTTTAAGGCGCCCCAAGAGATTAAGTTTGTTTAAAATATTTAGCTTAAATATAAAAATAAATAAAAAATTTGGAATTTTTACCAAATTTTGTGTCAACTGTCATGTGCCACAATGAAATCACAGTAGACCAGTAACAAGGATAGCCAAGGTTAACGAACGGTTTTTTGTTGTGCTCCCTTCCGTTTGGTGGCGCTGCTAGTCTTGTTCCTGGGCATGGAGGTAAATTAACTCTATGTTCCATGGCTTTGTTCCAAGGTTAGTAAATAAACAGGTTGTCTGGTAACTTTACACCAATCAGCGTCGAGAATCTAATGGCAAGAATGACGTAACTGAGAATGCTAGATTCATATTCACTTTATTGGTTGAGACGCAGATACCTCCAGAGTTCTGATTTTTTATTATTATTTTAGTATTAGGTATATTGATTGTTCCCAAATTGATTGTTCTTTATACCATTTTTCAAAGTAAAACACTTGCACGTCACGATTTATACCAAGTGACGTCACTTGTATTTAAAATTTTTAGAACATCAACCTTATAGTTCAAATTTTCCCAACACATCTAATAATACGAAACCCATACGGAACTGCTTGTTTTGGCTTCAACATGGTGTAATAATCAGAAAAATATAATCATCATTATATTGGAAATTTTATTATATTAATTAAATTATATTGAATAAATAACCAAAAACATTTATTATTATTAATAATATAAATTTTATGAAATAACTCTTGAAGTCTAATATTCCACAAAATAATAATTTTAATTAAATAATATATTAGACAATTTGTACGCAACTGATACGGAAATATATCAAATATTATTGACAGTTCAGCGGGTGGCAAAAGTGTTGCCGGTTTTTTGTTTAAGTGCGTTTTGAATTTACCGCTATGTATTTATATAGTTACGCACCCTGGCACTAGGTAATACGCCAATCGCCGTTTTATTCGTTAATATGGGACTGGAACTGCTAGGAGGTAATGTCCTGTGATTTAAATCCTAACCTACAACCAACCTAACCAGACTTATTTTGAATAAATAAACTTTATGAAATACTTAAAATATGAGTAAAAGAGACAGGGAATTACTTTCGAAAGGTGGTCTTCGTTTGGACGGCAGAAGACCAAACGAGCTTAGAAGAATCCGTTGTAAATTAGGCGTTTTTTCAGCACCAGATGGAAGTGCATACATTGAACAGGGTTTAACAAAAGTTCTAGCTGCTGTATATGGACCCCATGATGTAAGATAAATAAAGCTGACAGATAACATAATACTTGAATATATTAATTCATTACAGGTTAAAGGAGGCCGATCAAAAGCATTGCATGATAGTGCTGTAATAAATTGTCAATTTAGCATGGCAGTATTTTCAACAACAGATCGTAAAAAGAGACCCAGAGGAGATAGAAAATCTACTGAATTATCAATGCATCTACAACAAGCCCTAGAAGCTGCAATCAAAAGTGAACTATATCCTTTTTGTCAAATAGATATTTATGTAGAAGTTCTACATGCTGATGGAGGAATATATCCAGCTTGTGTAAATGCAGCTACACTTGCCCTTATAGATGCAGGGATACCATTGAAAGAATATGTATGTGCATGTACAGCTAGTCTAGCGAACAATGATGTTCCAATGGTAGATATTTCTCACCATGAAGAAATAATGGGGGGTCCAACACTAACAGTAGCAGCTTTACCTATGTCAGGGAAAATTGTTCTCATGGAAATGTCACAAAGATTTCATCTAGATCATCTAGAAAAAGTTTTAAATAAAGCTTTACAGGGATGTAAAGATATCAAACAAATTTTGGATGCTGCTGTTAGGTTACATGTTAGAGAGATTGGAAGCTCTACAGGATGGGCAAGCACTTCAATTAGTTAATGTAATGTCAGTAATTATAGGAATAAGTTTCAATATGTAGACTTTTACAAAGTGTTTAATACTTTTAATATGTTTTGTATACTTTGAAAATTAAAATTTGTCATTAAGTACATATAATTCTTAATTTTACATAATATATGTCCATATATTTAATTCCTTAGCGGTCAACTTCTATGCAAATAAAATATATACAACCAGCCAATTGACACAGTACAACTGGTTATAACAACAAAAGGCTTAAAAAAACCTTACCCATATAATTCAGCCCTTTAAAGGATTTGTAAAATGATAACTGGTAAATAAATCATACAAACACACTATTTAAGATACTTCAGCATCTTCTCAACAATCTTCAATTCAGATTTTAATTATCTTCCCATACATCCACAGAAGAACAAGTTTATTTATTCAAAAATATGGAAAGCCATAATACATACAAAAGTAATAAATTTATAACATTAATATATAATATGATAAAAATAACAATTACACTTAAAATATAGTACCTGCACTTATTAAAAATATAAAACATGACAACAAAACAACTACCTAACTATTGGTGCTTATACTATGGTCCATTAATTTGTTTTAAACATTTGTATAGATGAACAACTTTTAACTGAGGAAGCTTATTAAAAAGATCAATTGTAATTGTGAATATCTGAATGAATTATTTAAAATTTTATAAATAACCACCATTGTAGGTAAAAGACCTTTTGTTGGACTAAAACCCACTGCATGCTAAGCATTGTTGCTATAGGTGTATATTTGCTTCCACCAAGAATGATTCTCATTCCACGATTTTGTAATTTTTGCAACTGGGCCAATTGATTTAAATTGAAGTGAAAAATAAATGATAATAAAAATCGCAGTGAGGTTAAATAATTGCATTAAAAACTGTAATTTTAGTTGAAGTTGACAAATTTTTAGATTCTTGAAAAAAGAAATATTTTTTAATATGTAATTAAAATGGTCATTAAAGGACAATAAATTATCCAATTAAAACCAAGGTACTTAATTGTTGTGATAATTTCTATTTTGTCATTGTCAATTTGAATATATTTTGAGCTGATATATGCAGTTTTCCAGTCTGATGCTAGCTCTTCGCCTCTTAAGAATAAATTAAATGTGCAAGCCAATGGCTGAAGTAGTTTGTCAGGCCACATTATACATGAAGATGACATTGAAACGGTTGGAAAGTTTACATACCTGGGAGTAGAAATATATGCCGATGGAGCAGAGGATGGAGAAATACGAAAAAGGATAACGCAGGCAAACAAAGCTTATTTTGCCCTCTCCCATATATTTCGGTCTAAAAGTGTCCACCGAAATCCAAAGATGAGAATATATAAAACTTTAATTCGGCCAATAGCATGTTATGGCAGCGAAGCATGGGTCCTGAAAGAAACATCCAAAAACAAACTCGACACATTCGAAAGAAAAGTACTGAGGAGAATACTAGGACCTGTGAGGGAAAACGGAATCTTCAGAATTCGATATAACAACGAGCTCTATCAACTGTATAAGGAAACACCCCTGTCAAACTTCATTAGAATACAAAGATTGCAATGGGCCGGACATGTGATACGAATGGGAGAGGATAGGCTACCAAAACGAGCACTGAACGCCAGAATGCAGGGGAAGAGACCAGTTGGAAAGCCAAGAAAGCGCTGGGAAGACACAGTAAGCAGCGACGCACAAGCACTTTTAGGAGTCCGTGTATGGAGAAGAGCAGCCACAGACAGACAAGGGTGGAGGCAAAAAATAAGGGAGGCCAAGGATCATTTTGGGCTGTAGTGCCGTAGAAGAAGAAGAAGTTTGTCAGGCTATATTTAATCAGCTCTACATGGATAATCCCCCTGAGGCTTCTGTTTTTGTTTCCATATTGTGAATGGTTTTGGGATTATAAGGAAAACAGGATACATTGGTACCAAAATTTGGCACCAATATATTGGTAGAAGCATCTGACAATATAAGAATACAACTAATAAAAAAATTAACAGTTTTTTTTAGACAACTTTTTTTTATAAATAATAAAATAAACAAGTGACTAAAATAGCCATATTTTACAGTAATGAATATTTGATACTTAATATATAATTATGTATGTAATTTTTACAAAAAGTATACTATATTGATTAAAACTTAGAAGTGTATAAAAATATTGGCGACCTTTCTTAATATAATTAGTTAATAAGGTTTGTCATTGCAGCTTCCATACTAATTGGGGGTAGCATCAGGATGTCTCTCCAAAATCATGGCTACTCCCTGAAAACAAAATTAAATAAATTCAAACATTTCAAAAACAATACTAATCATGCAATTTACAATGCATAAGTAGGTAATACTGCATATGAGATTGTTTGGATTTTAATTTACTATATGCAATCAATAAAGTATAAATTATTATAAGCACTTTTTTGTATAACAAAAATGTATGTAATAGCTTGGTTTTATTATCTGCAATAATAATCTGAATGAGTTGGTTCCTTTGATGAATCAATTGTGCAATTAACGCAAAAGTATATCACCACTGCAGAGTAGGAGCCTACATAGAAACTTCAATGGCTTTGACTTTTCAACTTTTCCAAGTATCAGCTGCTGTATTCACAGATCCAAGATGTATTTGACATCTATGAGGTACATATGACTGGAAAATTACTTCTGGTATAATAACATATGATGGTAATATATTTATTTAATGTGGATCAAGCATCAAGGGTGAATTGAAATCAGTTCATTATCACATAGCATCAAGTCTCCATTGTTGAACATAGTTGTTTCCAATGCCTCTAATCTTGTGTCTGGCATAACCAGTTTGTTTTAACCCTCTTAATATCATCCACCGACCATGTTCTATCCCTGCCACTATCCGGCCCACCTCAACTTTATGTGTGCTTTCTATAGCATCCGTAATTCATGTTCTGGCTTTCTGGTTGGTAACTTTAATTTTTCCACAGATTTTTTAAAGTTTGTGCATCGTAACATCAAAAGTACACATTCTAAAACTTAATTTTTAGATATATCAGCATATCAAACATTTTTGGAAGAGACAAAGTTGAATATAATCAACTTTGTAATATTTAGTATAATCAAATTAACTGAAAGTATTAATGCGATTATAAATAAGAGATAATCTACTTACTTGACCTCCAGCAGCACATGCAGCAACCAATCCAAATTGGCCATCTTCTCTAACTAATCTATTAGCTGTGTGCATAGCCAATCTTACACCTGTAGCAGCAAATGGATGTCCAATTGAAAGTGATCCTCCCCAGGTATTGAACTTGTTGAGATCGGGAGCTCCAACTTTAGTCTGTCTGTTCATGTACTTCTGAGCGAACCAGTCACTGTCAAGTGCTTTTAGGTTCGCCAAAATTTGACCCTAGAAAATTAATAGTATTTTGTGCATTATTTTGACAAATTTAGAAATACCAATGCTAATGGTGTATCACAATAGTGTCTACTTACTGCAAAGGCTTCATGGAATTCCCAAACATCAATCTCCTTGGGTGTGAGACCAGCTCTTTCTAATACTTGAGGAGTTCCGTACGCAGGTCCAAGAAGAAGTTGATCGATAGGATCTTGGGATACGTAAATGAAGTTTCTGAGGTACGCTTTCGGTTTGAGTCCCAGTTGCTTGCACTTAGCTTCTGTAGTAATGAGGCAAGCAGAAGCACCATCAGTCTAAACATTGAAAAAAAAAACAACATAATAAATATTTGCTGAAATTAAAATATTTGATTAATTAGAGTTATATAGGTGACATGGCTATGTATTAAACTGTAATATATTTTTTCTTATATTTAATTTCTACATAATTTGCTGGTCTTCCAAGAACCCCTATTGCACATGAGATTTTTTTGCATACATGTATGTGATATTCTCAAGTAAGTCTATGGTCAATGTACAGTCCCAGATATTTAATACATTCCACTTTTTGCAATGGCCTTCATTCAAGTACTATATTTAATTGTTGCCACTCTCCTCTCCTTGCTATCACCATATAACTTGATTTATCTGTATTAACGGTAAGTTTACAATGATCTAACCATCCCTTCACCATCAGTAATTTAAATTCAGCATGATTTTTGCCTTGTTGGGTTTTTGTTAAAATATACAATGCAGGCATCATTGGCATACATTTGTAGTGTACCTCTTAATGGCAATGTTCAAATTGAATTAGAATAAATAAGGAACACCATTGGACCAAGTATTGACTGTTGAGGAACTCCACACTCAATATTGGACTATTCACCCTGTTAACACAGGTAAGTTGTGTTCTTCCTGATAAATAATCATTAAACCACTTCAACACTATGCCTCTTATGCCTAAAGTTTCCAATACAGATAATAACAGTGTGTGATCAACTGTATCAAAGGCTTTCTTCAAGTCAAATGATACAAATATACAAGATTGGCCTTTATCAACCTTCAATAATATCAATAATATTTGTTATAAGATCAGCTGTTGCTGTTGTTGTGCTGCTATCCTGTTTAAATCCATATTGCCCTATATATAAGAAATTTTCATTGCCTAAATGGTACAGGATTCTATTATTCACACATGTTTCTTCGATAAGGCCAGTAAAAGTAAAATGGGTAGATAATTACTAGACATTGAGGAGTCTACTCATACTACATACTTCCTTTATGTACTGGAACAACGTTTGCCATTTTTAGGACACTAGGAACACTTCCTGCACTGAATGATAACTTTAGTAGAGTACTTAAAATAGTTGATATCTCAATCTTAAACTCTATAATAGTATTAACTGATAACTTGTCTAGTCCACACACAGTTTTACCCTTCAATTCATTTATTATATCTTCAATTTCCTTCTTTGTTGTAAAGCTCCAAGAAAATATGTTGTCTATTAATGCTGGTCCTGGTGGATTGTCCATTTCTATTTTAAATAAAAAGTTCATAACAATATAGATTTACTTACCAGAAATGAAGCATTTGCTGCAGTGACTGTTCCGTGAGGTTTAATAAAAGCTGGTTTCAGGGACGCTAATTTTTCGGGACTTGATACACGGATACCATTATCTTTTTCGACTTGCTTTGCTACTCCTGGTACTTGGAATGGCACTATATCGGTTAAGAAACCTTTATCGGCTGCTTCTTGAGCTTTGGTATGTGACCTTAAGGCAAACTCGTCTTGCTCCTTGCGATTTGCTCCAAAGGCAGCAGCTAGCCTGCAATAGAAGTTAATTGACTACTTAAAAAATCTGGGCTAAGGCCCAGGTAACAGGTTACAATTTAAGAATTTTACCTGTCAGCTGAATGACCCATAGTCTCTCCTGAAGAAAATTCGGCGATTGATGGAAGATCTGGTACAAAGTAATCAGGTCTGATCGAAGCCAATAAAGACAGTCTTTGTTGCAGGTTTTTCGCTTTGTTTGCTTTTAGTAGTAAGTTTCTCATTTTTCTGCTGTGTCTAATAGGAATATCTGACATAAATTCTACTCCACCACATACTATTGTCTCGTAAATGCCGCTGTTAATAAGACCAATAGCTGAAACGAAAGACATATGAAAATATCCACAAGGAAAAATTCCTGTAGCTGGCTGTATACCACGTATCACAAAAAAGAGGTTAGTCTTCGTAAATGGGTATATTTATTTAAAAAAACCCTTAAAAGGGCTACATCAATAAAACAAACGTTTTCGGACCACACAGTCCATCATCAGGTTTTAAAATTGAAAAAATGCTAGGTCACAATGCCTGAGCCACCAAAATATTAGGGTAAAAACCCTTTAAATTACATTTAGTTATAAAAGATTGTACATTGTGTTGTAAAATAACTGTGATGTTCAGTAAACAATCAACACAATGTACAATCTTTTATAACTAAATGTAATTTAAAGGGTTTTTACCCTAATATTTTGGTGGCTCAGGCATTGTGACCTAGCATTTTTTCAATTTTAAAACCTGATGATGGACTGTGTGGTCCGAAAACGTTTGTTTTATTGATGTAGCCCTTTTAAGGGTTTTTTTAAATAAATATACCCATTTACGAAGACTAACCTCTTTTTTTAATATGAAAAGATGTATTACATAATTGTAAATTTCCACTATCAATACTCTTCCTTAGTTACGTTAAAATTACTGCACAAACTATTAAACAAAATTACAATATAAAACCCACTACACAGCAAATTCTCAACTTTCCAGTACTTCCCAGTACTATGAGAAATTTAATCACTGTCTTGCAATATCATATATTATAATCAATAATGTCAATATAATATATTGATACATTTTTGGAAAAGTAACGTAAGTGACATTTTTGGTGAAAATCATGTTTTTCAATTAAACTAACACTATTATTGTTAAAAGGGTACTGCCAAAGTGTAGTAACCGTCGAATTACTTTAAACCTTTCTTAGAACAATTAGGACAAGTTTTTTCAGTCATAATTTAAATAATTTTAACCAGGTTGAATTAAAAAATTGTTTTTTCTACAAATCGTGTTTGGTGACTTACGTTAATTTGCCAAAAATTGTATTGATATAACTATAAAGTTTAACAATACCTGTTGTCATGGCAACATTTGATGAAATGCAAGCCATTGTGACAGTATGAGCAGGAGTTTTGTCGCTATATCCAGCAGCCAGAGCAGCTTCCCTAGCAATATTGGAGGTTCTGACTTCTTGCATAACAGTACCATAAATAACATAATCAATAATTTCCTTTGGAACACCAGTCTTCTTAAGAATGCCACTAAAACATTGAATATTATGTCACAACACCTAAATAGTTACATGTACATGGTGAATTGGAATTGGTAGATTTGAATTGCATGAAAATTTATTTATACTCCGTCTCAATCTGGAAATCTTGGGAATGAGTGATTTTTAATGTTATCATGTGTGGATAAAGATATTTTTCCAGAAAATTCTTTTATTTCAACTAATATAGTCTCCTTTTAGCTCAAAACAAAGAATTAAGTGATTTTAAAAGTTCTGCAAAATAGGTGTTTGTTTCATTCGACCTGATTTTTTTATTTATAAGCCATCTCTTCTAAAGTGGGAATACATAATAATCAAAAGGAGCCAAATCAGGAGAATAAACCATATAAGAAAGCAATTTGAACTCATGAATTTTGGACTTTGTCATAACACTCTTGTGAGCCAGCACACTGTCTTGGAGAAACAACACTTTCTTCTTCTGCATGTGGAGTATTTCTCACTGAGTTTCTACTTCAATTTTCCCAATAATGTGCAATAACATTGACTATTGATAAATTTGCTTTTTCTAGACAGTCAATTAAAATTATGCCTTTGGAATTGTTAAATACAGTGGCTAAAACCTTTCGAACCCATTGAGATACTATTGGCTGCTATGAAGCACTTTTACTGGCTTCAGTCAACTGCTGGGCATTCATTCCGTTCTCTGGGGTGTAGTAGTAAATCCAGATTTTATCAAAGGTTTCCAATTAGCTCAAAACTCCAACAGATTGTGCTTTATAAGGTCCAAACACTGCTAAGAAGTGATCACATGATCATGTTTTTGAAAGGATAATTTTTTCATATTCAAAACATGACTAGTACACTAGTTATTAATTATTGTGGATTCACACAACTTGAATTTATCAGCTAACATATAATAGCCAGTTTTCTGTACATTTTTCGGCATAACTGCAGTAGAGGTCTGTTCAGTATGTGGTTCTTCCATATAGATATATGACCACTATGAAATTCACAGAACGAAAATTTGACAGTAAAGTCTGAAGGAGCATTAATCCTATAACATTTATCCATACTTTAGAAGGATGTAATTGCATACTAAAACACAGTTTTTAATGCTAAATAACTTATACCTACTTCGTATAAGACTGATAAAATTTGATATCTGATGGTTGCATCTTAGGTTTTAGACCATGCAAAACTTTTTATAAAGAATAACTTCCTTTTCGTTGGACTAATAATAAAAAAGTTTCCCTTATGTTGCCAACTTAAGTAGACTCAAGGTATATTCTACATAAATACATTTCTTCCAATAAATAATACTGGATTAATACTAAAATTTCACATGTACCTAAACTATTTCTCTTAGAAATTACTATCTGCTTGGTTTTTGGACAATAATACCCATTTTTTAAGCTGCTACTCATGACTTTTCAAATTCAAGGACTAGCGGATCTGCACATATAGATCACTGATCTTTACCTAATGTCAAAAATGGAAATAGTAACATCTTTAATAGAACAAGGATTTTGTTGTAGCTTTCTTCATGTTAGAAACCTTTATTATTAAAAATTTTGAGAGAAAAATGCTGTTGCCATTTTTCCTTATTAGACCAAAATCATATATAAAGAAGTAGCACATACATTTATGAGCTTATTCATCGCTAAGTATAACAAATGTTTCTAATCTAATTCTGGTATCTTTAATCCTCTGGATTACTTTATTTTCAATCACATGGAGGACACATATACTTTGTGTGATATATAAAACAATGTGTGATATATAAAATAATCATCTAATTAGTTAAGTTGATGAGCTGAAACAATCCACCATTACAGATATTTTACCTTAGAGCCTGTTTAGCCAGTTCATGTGGCATAAGTTTTGCATAATCAGTTCCAGATAACAAAAAGGGGGTTCTTACTCCATCTACTAATACTATATTCTGACCATTTTTGGGGGCCAAAGATTTCTTCTGATTATTATGAACTCCAAGTGAAAACGTTCTTAAGGCATCTGAAATGATAGATGAGAAATGAACATAAAACATTTGATTTTGAAAAACAGCTGCTTGTTAACAAAAGAAATTTACACTACAAATAATTAAATGCACTAGCAAAATTTCTTGTAAAAATAGAGTATATTAACTTACTGCCTTGTTGCTTGATTAGTCCTAATGTAACTTGATTTTTTACAATATTTCTAGCTGAACTTAGAGCCATTTTTGTCGCTTCTTTTTTGTTTTACGTTTACTTAAATCAAAGAACAAAATAAATTAATAATAAACCGAGTCCACAAAATTGAACCCAAATTTTTTAGACTTTGACCCCTTGTACTTTGAAATTAAAAATATGTAAAATATAAAAAGTTATATGTAAACATTTGACAGGTACCCATAAAAATAAATGGATTGGTAATGGTAGCTCTGACCTAGTTTGCCGGTTCGTACATTTAAAAATTATTTTGTTTTTGCAATTAAATATTTACAAACAAAGGTTTGAGTTAGACATAAAATTAATAAAATAATTATATATGTCTGTATGATACCATAAATAAATTATTTCATATTGGTCGGCAAATATTGAAATTTAAAACTGTATTCTGTCTTGTGAAGTCGATATTAACATCATGTTAGCCAACTGTTAGTTGATTGATTTTCTTTCATTTCAATTCATTATGACAGAAAAGGTTAGAAAATTATGATTATGACTCATAGATATATTTGACTTTGACGTTTATTTTGAAGTTTTGTAGTTAAAGAATAGAAAATTAAAATACTCAACAAGAAAAATGGTAAGTATTTGTTGCACTATTATAAGCAAAATGTTTTAAATAATCATTTTACAGGCTCAAGAAGTAGAAGAGACCATGAAGAGAATCCAATCCCACAAAGGAATTGTAGGGACCATAGTAGTGAATTCAGAAGGTAAGTAATTTACTTCTTGGATGATGGGAGGATTAAATTAATTCATTTTTAGGAGTTCCAATAAAAACTACTTTGGATAATACAACAACAGTGCAGTATGCTGGATTAATAAGTTCTTTAGCAGATAAAGCAAGAAGTGTGGTTAGAGATTTGGATCCATCCAATGACCTTACATTTTTAAGAATTAGATCAAAGAAACATGAAATAATGGTAGCTCCGGATAAGGAATTTATACTAATAGTTGTGCAGAATCCTACCGATTGATGAAAGATGATGTGCTAATAAATTTTTTTTTATTTAAATTATTAAAATACATTCTAATCTTCAGTCCACTTGGATTTATGTTTTTTATATAATAAATATAGCCTAATTTAGGGAATATTGTTTTTATTTTACTAGTTTTTAGTTTGTATCTTCGTATTACAGTTGTTACTATGGGAACAATATCTTAGTAACCAGAATGGGTTTCAATTATGAAAAATAATTGCACTTTTTGATCAAGTCTAGAAATACAGAGAGCTTGTTTTGATTAATAAAATAGCCTATTGATCAATAGAAATGATTTTAGGCATAAGCAATATGCATTCATATGCAGACTGTCTTAGCTAAAGCCAGGAAGCTTAAGTTGCACTTGTTGCTGTTCTTGCAAGGCCACAAAAGAGCTAGCAATTTTCAGTATTAAAGTGAATTATCAAAACTGTCATGTTACTCATTTCCTCTGAGGAAAAAATCATTTCCCACAGAGTATCAAAAGGAATAAGCTCTGAGGGACCTCTATCCATATTATTGCATTATAATTGATTAGACATGCTAGAATGTTTTTCATAAATTTGTTAATGCATCTGGATGGCAGATTCCACACTGAGGAGTAGGCAGATTGAGACCTCAGTGACGTTTGATGGTTCTTGGATTTTTACAGAATAAGATACTGGTACTTCACGTGTGAGGGGAGTAGAGTATATATATCTAAAGTTATCTTATATATTATAATGGTATAGCTTATTGATGGTGTTGTGGTTGTGGGATCAAAGTTAGGGAGTAAAAAAAAATTAAATTCAGATATAAATAATACTATAATTTGTATAAAAATATAGTCTGTACATATGTCTTTAAAATACTTAAATATTTTATATACATAACTGTCGGTAAAATATATTACTCCTTTTTACATTACATTTTATAAAAAATTAAATGATATCTTCTTAAAAACTATGACTAGCTGATTGTACAGCATGAAATGTTGCAAAATGAGGTAGATTAATTATTAACGGAGCTTAGCATCAAAGTACAACAAAATTATACACATTCACTATTATCTCTGCACAAATTAATATTAAAAAAATTTTGTTTTCATGAACCGAACATATGACTGAAGACAAATTTATTAAATATACTGTTTCACAACCGCCCAATTCAAAAGTATGATTGTCTATTTTTTAAATAATGATTTGGATTTCAGTATTTAATATTGGCTAGTATTGCTTTATTTCTGATTGTACTATAGTATGCAGTTAGCATCTAGAGTCTTGACATCCACATATTTTCTGAACCACAAAACTTAGATTAATACATTTTTTAATAACTGAACTGAAATAAGTAATATCTCATTTGAAAGTTCTTGTGCTCAATATCTTCCTAGATTTTAATATGATTCTGAATATGGGAAATTTAAAAGTAGATGGACCTGTTCCTGAAGATTAATAAATTATTAGTGGTAGTTCCTATTTTTCCACATGGTAGCCCCTTTGAAACAACATGATCGAATCATACAATATACAACAATGAACTCAAAGAACGTTTTAGAATTTTTAAACACCATCATGTGCAATGCTATTTATGAGCTTCCACTTAATGAAAAATTAAATTTGTGTATCCATTTAGAAGAGTGTTCTTTGAAGCTGTGAAGCAATGGCTACATGAGATTCTTTTAACAGTTCGATAGGCTGTGGTAGTCAATCGATAGATTGGTTACCCACAGATCCTGATCTCACAATTTTAAACTTCTTTGTCTGGGAAGTTACCAAGCAAAATTTTATCAAATTCGCCCAAGAAACATAGACGAACTTTGTGCAAGAAATTCACAGGCTGTGTAGAAATTACTCCCTAATAATTAAAACATGTAAATAGAAATATTAAGTGCTATGACAAATGTATCCAATTAGATTGTGGATTAGTAGAGACCAATGCATTTCGTTCGGAACGGACAGGCACCCAAAGAAGAAGAAGAGACAACTAGGATTATAACTAAAATTATTTTTGTATGATAGTTAGTTAATACAGGATGTTCTTTTCTGGCCCGTAGCTTAGTGAGTTTGAGTTCATTTAAAGCCATTCCAAATCCAAAAGTGTAGGATTTTTTTAATAACAAATCTAATAAAACTTTTCCATTTTCGACTACGAAAAAGTATCGTAGTATGTCCTGGAAATTTAAATAAACATCTTATTCTTTTTACGGTGCCTATCCCTGAGAGAATGTTAGACACTAACACGGATATTTTGACTTTGTTGACTGCTGCCCTAAAAAGTTTGGAAATGGTCAAGTTAAACCAGTTTCTTGGGTTATGAAGTCAGAATATTCTTCTTTATTTGTTGTTCATTAAGCACTATAAGGCCCAGGTATTCCAGTTTGTATGTTCCATTAACTACATGATATTAGAATTGGTTGAAATCGATCGAAATCGAGGAGTTTCCAATATAAATGAGCCACGTTGCATATTGCCAAAGAAATGCAGATTCTTGTTGAAGATATTCACTGTTTATGATCTGTAAATACCTTTTTTAAAGTGCGGCTTGTCATCACAAATATCGTACTTGAAGTTACAAATTTAAAAGAAATAACGATAAATTAAGCTGGTATCAAGTATCGATGAACTCCATTACTGACTTATGTATAATTTTGTTGTATTTTGATTAATATCGGACATCTCACTATTTCCATACACACCTATTACATATAAAATAAATGAAAATAGTAAAAGTGTTTTTAAATTCTCATGGTTTGTACTTGATTAAGTTATGAGTTTTCAATACATATATTAATTTAAAAAATTAACAATTAACATCTAGCGGAAGTTGAAACGCCTCCAAAATTTCTCGCATACGAAACTACCAACCTTATATTACAATCACATATTCATTCCGACCGAGAAATCATGGCGGCATTCCAATCTTGTACATAATATAAAGCTAACAATTATATTTTTAGCACCAACGTATTTTAGGTAAACGCTTCTTAACACAGTGTTACGAAAGATGTTTCCTATTTTAGTCTCAGTCTTGGTGGATCTACGGTAACCTAGAAATTCATTTAAGTAAACTTTTAATTCATATATTGGTATTTGTTAAAGTGTATTAAATTGTAGTTGCGACACAAAGTTATAAATTTACAAGATTTTAATTTTAATTGTATTTATTAATATTATTTTTCAAAGTAAAAACGTTGCAGGTCACGATTTATCAAAGTGACGTCACTTGTATTTAAAATTTTCAGAATGTCAACTTTAAGAGTTCAAATTTTCCCAACACAGCTAATAATACGACACCCATAAGGAATTGCTCGATCTTCCATAAGCGTCAATATGGTATAATAAGCAGAAAAATATAATCATGGTTTTATTGAGAATTTTAGAATTATATTGATTAAATAACCAAAAACATTTGATATTATTAATAATATAAATTCTATGAAATAACTGTTTGCCACTGATACGGGAATACTTCAAATTTTAATGACAGTTTAGCGTTCGGCAAAATTGTTTACAGTGTTACCGCTTTTTTAGAGTAAGAATTTTGTTTATGTTTTGATTTCTTACACAATTTGATTGACAATATATTATATATTAATAAATTGTATTTATAAATACCTACATATTAAATTTAGCATAATAGCTTTAAAAACTAATTACTGTCGTGTATTATGATTGTGTTATGCCAAAAACAACTGAATAGTCTGTAGAAAGCTGATAATAGCTGGTAAGCTTTAATAGATTATTTTGAACAAGAAATTATGGCGGGACGTTTTTACTATTAAATGCTCTAAAAGAGGTAAGTTAAAGAATTCAGAATATATATATATATATATATATATATATATATATATATATATATATATTATATATATATATATATATATATATATATATATATATATATATATATATATATATATATATATATATATATATATTATATATTATATATTTGTATTAAAATGTTTCTTATGTATTTTAGTATGTTGCAGTAGTCTTAAAACTAAGTGTATCTACTGTTAATAATATTTCTCAAGCTGTTAAAAATAATGAACTTTTAAAACCACCTCCTAAAAACGGTATTACAAAAAGACAAACTAATACAGAAGAGTTGAACGTCAGTGGTATTCGTGATGTTATTTACGACACGTACACAACAAGTAAAAACTTTGACACATCAGCAAATGTAGACAGAATTATTATTAGTAAGAAATGTTTATTAAATCATAGTGTTATCTTTGTAGAAAAACATGCAACTTTAAAATTATTAAGAGACAACTTGGTTAAGAAGCAGATATTCGATGGTTCCATTACATTATTATGGAGGTTATTAAACGAATTGGGTTTCAGGCGTAGTGTTATGAAACTGCCTAATAATGCAGTAAAGAGAACTTTCCTTTAAGAAATTATATTGCAGAGAAATTTTTGTATAGGTTTACTTTTTTTTTATGAATCATGGATCTTCCAAAATGGAACAATATGTCGTTCATGGCAAAGCAAAGACAAAAGAAGTGTCAGAACCACAAACACAGATGATAAAAGGTTAGTCACATTTGTCAATTCGTTAATTATATATAATTATTATTAATATTGGGTTAATTAATCTTATAACACCTTTCAGTTTTTTTCTCATTTTACTACATTTTAAAAATCCAATTGACTACTGTATTGTATTCTTAAATAGTTGACATTTTAAAAATTCCTCACTTATTAACTATTCTGATGTTTTGGCAACGCTGTGGGGTTCTGAAGTCGTAAATCTTGAATGACGTGCACACATTTTTATATGAAACATTCTATAATTAACAAGATCTAAACGTAACTCACAGTTCTTTATCAGTTACGTTCTAAAAATATTTTCCTGAGGCATTTTTATGGTATCTACTATAATTATTTTGAAGTATCGATTTCCATTTAAGAAATAGTTTTTCCGAAAAAGCCAAAATTTCCAAAGGGGAAATAAATATAGGAGATATAATTATTTTGACATTAGATGATGCCATGGTATTGGAATCTCCTGTTACTAGTTTAATTGAACAAAAAAACATCGAGCACAAACTACATAGTGATGAAACTGTCCAAATGTGAAGACATATAGGTAGGTAGATATAGGAAGGAGTTGGATGTAACATT